CTTGTAAAATTCCGGTGTCTTGATTCACATACTACAGGGGTACCGAAGATTCAACATTGAGCAAAGCTATAGGCAACCCCAGAAACACCAATTGTACTAAATGGAGATTATTTCATTCATTTATCAATTCTTACCTTCTCTTCTCCCAAAACTTCTTTCTGTGAAGTTTCATCAGGTGGAATTAAAACTATTTCCATTGTTACAATAACATTTTTATTAAAACTAAACCTTAATTAGAGTAAGTAAACAAATAAATATAATAAATACAAATCTATTAACATGTATTCACACAAAGCATAGGGCATTTGTCCAACTGTACGGGCAGGTTAGCACTTGCACATGCAAAGCATAAATAAAATCTGAATTTTTTCACCTTCAAATTAAAATAGGATTTGCATATTCATCCCAGGGAGAGGAAAGCCGATAACATGACTTAATAATAATATGGCGAATCACGGCTTCTTGTCAGGTTACCAGTCCATGGTGGGTATGGGATTGGGCGTGGACTTGATGTTGGAGGAAGCCGTGACTGATCAGTGGTTACGCAAACCACCCTGCTGCAGCAAAGAGTCCAGCAATCCGCTCTCACATAATTTCCCTTGCATGAGATTTGAATCTGTGAACCCACACAGGGTAATCAGAGGTGCAGTGGCGAGCGTATTTCTAACTTTTAGCATGATGCGCAACACCGCCAAGCCACTGAACATCTCATATAGTGAAGGTACTGATGACACAGCGCTGTTCATGTAACCAATATAGGAAACAAACTGTTGAATTGACTATTACAATTTATTCATACAGCACCCATTCACTCCTTTTTCTTAAAAACAAGGCAGGCCCTAATCATTTTTTATTAAGATTAATACCAAACACTAAAAATAATGAGAAATACCTTCAGAAAAACATTATTCAACTATCAACTGAGTACATGGGGCATTCATACGTAAAATGCGTCCCCACTCATAAAATTTCCTACTTATGAATCGGCTTTCAGAAAAAATTAACTTCTTATAAAGTAGTATTGCAATTTTTTCCTACAGACTTATTCACCGCTGCCTAAAACAATGCCCTCATTTTCCCTCTAAAATACTAAACCCTAAAATGACTGCAAAATACCTTAGAGAAACATATTTCAAATATTGAACTAACTACATTGACTACAAAATGATGAAGAACTGCCAGTATATCCATATATTTAAATACAGGGAAGAGTAGAGTATAAACAAACTTACATCGCTTCAAAAAGCCCGTCCAGTCGTATCAATCTTACTTATTTCTGTAATTCAATATTTTCATAAAAGCCGGAACGTCGTTACATGTTTTGTTAGGAATGTTATGCAAATACCACAAGTTTTAAACCAATGATTCATAAGATTTTTTCCAATCATCCAATTTCCTAAGCGGATGTGTTGATAATAGTTAAGATAACTTGAATAAAACTCTTAAGCTCGTCTATTTTCCTTTCGTATTGGTTGTAGTGAAAATATCGAGAGGGTTGAGATTTTTATAAGATGCTCTACACCAGGGCTACTCAACTGGCGGACCGCGGACCGAATCCGAGCATTTCGACCATTCAATATGGACCGCAGCATAAGCATCGTTTTATAGTTTGTTAATTTTGATATGATTAACATACATGGCTATACAATTTGCTGTATTGGTACCGATGTGCGACATTTGTGTCCATATTTGTGAGCTATCCATTGCCCTTGTATTTAAATAATATTGCATTTGTGTATTTAATAATGAAATAAATTTTCTAAAATGTACGAACCCCATTAATTTTGAAGTTTTGTAAACGAACCTTAAGTGAAAATAGTTGAGTAGCCCTGCTCTTTACACCCCCACTCTGTACGACCAGCTAGCTACTGATACAAGAAATGCTAATATTTTTGAAAGACTGAAAGCTTTGCTGCCTCATACAACCCTGGATGATGTTGGGCATGGGATCAGGACCCAAAATAGTATTACCCTGCACATGATTAGGACCACTTCAACTGCTAGGCTATTGTCAACAATTTTTTTGTAATTTTCCCTTTTTGTCAACCTTATCCAATGATTCATGAAATTTATCATAATCATCCAATTTCCTGAGCGGATGTGTTTCTTATCGTAAAGATAACTTGAATAAAAGTTTTTGCAGCTCATTGCACTCTGAACAAGACTCTGTATAAGAAGCAACTGATAGGTACCGGTAGCTAAAGTTTATATAATAATAATAAGCACAATCGGGTCATTATGAAATGATTTTCATCAATATTTTTGACAGAAATTTGTATTCATAAAAACTATAGTCATAATTTCAGCGAACATTCGAAATTTGCCCGCCCCTGGTCCAAACTGAAGGCATAGGTACAAAATCTACATAATTAACTGTTGAGCATGACCCAATGCAGAATATTTGATATTCCATATTTAAAACATCATGTTGGAGTGTATTTAGAATAATGCATAATTTGATTCCTTTTTTTAGTTTTATTACAAGTTCGGGGACTGTCTGTGTTAGCTAAGTAAATATACCCCCTGCCTTGTCGATAGGTTTTCATTTCCTTTACACAACTCGATGTAAAATAGGCGTAACCCTAAGCCTTATAACCATAATCTTCTGTCTTTACCACATTTTACACCACCTTGTCTAATCTGTAAGTAATAGACGTACGTACATAATTTGGCCGGTAGCATAACTATCAGATAATTATGCAGTTAACGGTTCAATAGCTTGCAGCTATTTTTAGAAATCTTAGACATGAAAGCCACTTAATATTAATCTATAGAGCAGAAATGGCCAATCTTCCATTCGATCGAATCATGTATAAATAATGGTTTATTCCAGTTGCTAGATCGTGTGAAAAAACAGTGAGGAAACACCAAACAAGTTAAGATGTGCACAAATTGTCAAAAACTTTGCTAGAACTGTAACAAACCACGAAAAACCTTATTAAAACGATTATAAACTGTCAAAAACCAACAAAACCCTTCTAAATCGTGCAAAAAACATGAAAACCCAAGAAAAACACAACCGGTTAAGAAGTATTGCTTGGGTTTTTGAGAAGTATTACTTTTCATTTGATGTAGCTTCACTGATATTGTTTAGTTAATATTAATAGGAATAAAGCTGAACTAAACACAAAGCAATATTTCACAAACTCATCCCGAAAGCGACAAAATCCCCTCAATATGTCACTGGTTGGGAAGTCTTGCACTAAGATATAGCAACAAAGAAGAAGCAGGGTGTCCGAAAAATGTTGCCTGATTTTATAGTAATAACAATTGTAAGTTTGAACGACTAAACGACAAAATTCCCTCAATGTCCCACTGGCTGAGAAGTCCTACACTAACATATAGCAACAAGGAAGAATCATTAGTCAGAAACGTTCTACTGAACAATACAGGGTGTCCAAAAATGTTGCCTGATTTGATAGTAATAACAATTGCAAGTTTAAATAAATTTTATTGTATGATAAATAAGAACTACAAGCACAATATAAATTATTAATAAACAAAGCCATAGAAATTTTTAATAGTTATTACCATAAAATTGAGTAAAATATTGGACACCCTGTATACTGTATGACTATCTGTACCCAGCACAGCTCAATAACTTTGCTAAATTAGTACAGTCCCTCCACATCCACATTTTTATCAAATTCAATATATGCGGCCAATCTTGAACCGAATACAGTAACAAATAATTTTCTAAGTGCCAGGTATGAACACATATAATAACATTGATCAATTCTTTACCTTTACCTAAGTTCTGCGAATACACATTTACATCTGTCCAATCTTGGGCCAAACATAATAAACAGATAATATTCTATGAACCAAGGTTGGTCAAACAAAATAATGATCAATGCCTAAATGACATGATCCTGTTTCCTGTCTTATAATAAACATAAAGAAACATGCACACCATATACTAAGAGTTTCGATGAGTGTGAAAATTATTGGACACGATGTGGACCCATTTTGTTATTATGTTGAGGTTGTCCGTATTTTTTTTCTTGTTGTTATAAATCGCTTTCCTCATTCACTAATGCAAAGGTGTGCAACCTGCTGCGTCCCGCAAGGATAAATTGTACGGCCCACGGAGAAGTACCAATGGTCTGCGGCCCATAAAACAAGTTTTTACATAAGTTTAATAAGATATGTGAGAGTAATCCTAATCCCTGCCTATGACGTAACAATGCCCTGACAGCTGGCCTTTGCGAAATGAACAACGCATGTCATAAGAGGGTGACCGTACATTTGAACCCATGTACATTTGAACCCATGCGTATATCCACGGGTTCAATCTATATGCGGGTGCTAAAACCCATGGGTTAGGGTTAGTATGGGTTTAACTATCCGTGAAACAAAAAAAATTCCATAGGTGCAATAGCATACAGGTGCAATTGTCATGGGTTCAAATGTACGTGGGTTCAAATGTAATGGAACCTCATAAGAGCAATACCCAAAACTTTTGTGCTTGCAACCACTAGAAAGCCTTAATGAAGGTGCGGCCAGCGGTTTCCCCCTGTCACTCGTTGTGTATTTGTTGTATTTTTCATTAGAAGGCTAATACTTTTTTTCATTTTGAAAATTTTCTATGTCTTTTGTCTGGATCCTCCTATTGTAAATTATTGCTAAAATAAAGAATGAAATAAAAATAAAAATTTCCTCAAACTTAAAAAATTCATAGATACAGAATATAATTCTCTTATAGCTGTAAGTTTTAAATATAAATAATGCTACAGCAGGCTTGCAAATCTACGCGAGTACGCGAGTCATACTCTAGTCTAGACTCGCGTATTTTGCCCTACCCGAGTCTAGCTATTACTCCCGTAAAAAACGTCATTACTCGCGTCCAGCAGTACACGAGAGTCCGAGGCGATTTTTTCCGCCGCCTCTCTCTCTTTGTTCTTTAGTGACGTAAAATCGTTTGCGGGCGATGGTTTATGATGTCACAATAGTACATTACAGCGAAAAGCGAGGAATCAAGCACGAGCATGCCTCCGGACGACTTGGCGTTGGCGAATGCAGAATGTTCCCTTGTAATAAGGCAGACTGCGAATGCGTATTATGAATTTAATAGAAGTGTTGCAGACTAACAAAGATGAGATGTCGGTAAGACTAGGGCTAGTGTAATTAATTAGTTATATTAACGGCTGTTTTGTTGTAAATTACCGGTAAAAGGGTATCTTTGCGTAACACCGTTTTTTTGTTTGTTTAAAAATACCACAGGAGATATTATAAATTGTATGATTAGAGTAAATGGAGGAAAAATCAAGGTCCGTCTCTGTAGCGGCCTGGAAGTTTTGGCCAAACAGATTAAAGGACAGTTTTACGTTCGGTTTCAACGAAGATAATACCGAAGTCGTACATGCAGCATGCATTGTATGCAAAAAACATTGTGACAGAATACAGCGCGGCTATGGAGGCAAAGTTGTTAATGATGTGACGACTTACGGGGAGAATGGCACCATATGGATTTTAAGATATAATTTAGAACGACACCTCAATTCCGAGGGCCACTTAAAGTGTGTCGAAATTGAGAATGGGAAGCTCCCGACGCAAACAAGTATCGCTCGCTTATGGGGCTGCCAAAAACAGAGGGCGAAGAACGCCATAAAACCTCTTGTTCGTACTGCACTGTATGTCTCTAGAAAGGAACTGCCTTTCAATGCGTTTGCGGACTTATTACAACTGTGCGCAGACAATGGCGGCAAAATAACCACGTCATATGGTAACAGAGAAGGTTGTAAAGCCTTTATACATATTCTCGCGGAGGAGATATTGTCCTCAATAAGAAATGAAGTGCACAAAAAAGTAAATTTTTTTAGCTGGATGGTGGATGGGTCAACAGTCGTCAAGCGCAAGTTATCGTACGAGTCGGAACTAATTTACATAAGAATAGCGCACGAATGCAAACCAGCTGTACACGAAATTGACTTGATTTCAATCAAGGAATATGTGCGAGTGGACGCTAACAATTTGTACCACGCTACATTGCGCTCTCTGTTGAGTTTCCTGATTCCCGATATAACAACAAATTGTGAGACACCCATTGAAAATCTTGTGGAACTTATTAAGCCTTTTTCTTCAAAAATTATCGGGGCCGGCGCCGATGGCGCTGCTGTTAACTTTGGGCGTAAAACGGGTTTACTTAAAAAATGGGAGGACGTGTGCCCTGGTCGGCTAATCAAAGTACATTGCTATTCACATCGAATTGAACTAGCATCGAAAGACGCATTGACCCCCCATTTCAAACAAGTTATTGACTTCCTTATTGACATATATTATCATTTTCGGAATAGCCCTAAAGAATGGGCCGCCGTATGTAATGCGGCAGAAAAGTTGCAGACCGCGGTTGTTAGTGTACCAAAGTCGCAAGGCACAAGATTTGTGGCACACACACTCAACGCACTCCATGCGCTAAAAACAAATTGGATTGTTTACATACATCATTTCACTAACCAGAGGGAGGCTGAGTCAGATATGAAGGCTGAGAAATTTCTTGTTAATCTTCACAGCTTCAAGTTCTATATCCTATGTCGCCAATACGAGGATATCGTAAATTGGGTATCTGCCACGTCAATCGCAATACAATCAGATCATGACGGGTCATCCATTATTGACGCTACCAAGCAGATAAAACGGTTGAAAATGAAATTAACTTCTATGGAACTTCGCGGCGGTCCTGCAGAGCGAGAAGCGCTCGATGCTTATGACAGGGGCGACCTAAATTGCACTCCGCTTCCGTTCCGTTTTACCAGACACGAAGATGGTGGACAAACGAAGGCAATACGCATTACTTGTAAAAGGCGTGAAACACCGACCGGCAGACTCCTGGAACACGAGGAAAGCGTGGTTTTTCATTCTGCAGAGGAAACCATCATCCAGAGATCCCAAACAACAAGATCGCAATGCATAAGAAATCTGCGTGATTGCCTGGACGAGCGATTTACAGAAATAGAAGAACAAGAAAACATTTTGAGTAAGTTATCATGGCTGAACCCTGAAATCTTGATGTCGGATGGCGGGATTAATGCGTCCGTCCCTGAATATGGCAATCAAGATCTTTCACAAGTCTTTGAGTACTTCAAAGTACCTCTACACGCAGCTGGGTGCGAGAAGGGTGCATGCTTGAAAGAATGGGATGATTTGAAGTATGACGTCCAGGGAAATGAGGTTTACAAAGATTTGAGCACTACCGACTTTTGGCACAAGTTGCACCAGCGAAAGAAGGAGGCGTATAAAAATTTGTTGATCGTTGTCGAGTTAGTGCTTTGCTTACCATTCTCAAATGCTGTTGTCGAAAGAGGGTTCAGTTGTTTACGGCGAATTATCACTGATTGGCGATCACATCTCGGACACAATATGATAAAAGATCTTCTATTAATTGCCACGCGAAAAGAACAGTTCGAAGACGGGGCCATTCGAGAAAATCTGGTCAACAAGGCTTCCGCCCGATTTATGGGAAGCGATGGGACGTCTGAACGAGGTCTCGTGAAACGACGTATAAATTCAATTTTAGGGGGGTTGGAAACGGCAAAGCCCAGCTTGGTACAGCCTCAACTAATAAACATCGACGATAGCTCGTCGGAAGAAGACTAAAACTGTGATATGTGAACCTGAAAGCGTCTCACGCATTTCTTTGTTCGTCGACACAATTTCTAACCTTTCTTTTTATACATTTTAAATGATGCGAAGTCGACGGGCGGCGATTAGCGTTTAATATTCAATTTCGTTCTTTCTGTGCGATGTTTATTTTGCATGAACTCATCTGCTACATGCGAACTTATTTTATAGATTTCAGTTTGTACGGCAAATGTCAGACTGCATGAATGGTTTTGTTTATTAAAAAAAAAAAAAAACAGGCGATGGCAACGGCGACTGCCGTTTATTAAAGTTCCTCCCTTTATTTTGCAAAACTTGAGTTATTATTTTCTTTGTAGGGTAACTTGTTGAGAGTTATTCACATGGTTGATTACCCCGATATATAATTAGGTCATTTACGTCGTGCGGGGAAAACGGCGTCGCAGAGCACGCAGCTATCTTGATTAGTATTTAATGAGACGCTCGCAAGTAGCAATATCGCAGAACGAGGGTACCGACGGAGTAGTGTTTATCGAGCGAAAGTAGGTGTGTAGATAGTGTGTGCGTAGATATAATTAGACACATTGACTCGTGCCTGACTCGCGTAACATTTTCCTGGGACGGGAGTATATGTGACGTCACTATGACGTCATTGAATCTTTCGAATTCCGTTAGGAGGTCGACGAGAGTATGCCTAGACTCTCGTTTTCGGGCGCGGATTTGCAAGCCTGCTACAGCATTCCGCAAATATATATTTCATTTTAGTTTTTGGATAGTCAGAAAAATTCCAACATTTTTTTTGAAAATAAAAACAATACAATCATTGAGTCACATATTACATCAGCTTTATAGAATGTATCGAATATTTCACAAAAATTCCACCGCTAAAAAATTTACTTTTTGTTCATAGATCATAATGATGTGTATAATGCAAAGATGCTGCAGCAATGACGAAGATGACTATTTGATTCAAAAGATTAGCTGCACACTAACAAGAATGTATTTCTCTAACATTTCTGACGAAGGTCTGACAATTATTTTAAAACTGTGGATTTTAAATATAAATATTGCTACAGCAATCAGCAGAAATTTCATTACAATTCATTTAAATACTTTTTGAATTTTTAGATCGTTCAGAAAGCATTACATCAACCATTTTATACAATGTACGTAAAATCCCGACCATGGAAATTCCACAGATAAAAACAAACAAGTCTAAAAACATGGCATCACACAAAACACGAGCAACAAAAGAGCCTATCAATGGAAATTTAGGTTGAATTTTTTTTAGAGTAACCCCGGAGGAAATTTTCAATGAATAAGGCTATCTAAAAGAAGAATTTTTAAATAGAATTTTTATGGGCAATATCCATAACGAGAATATCGGTCAGAGACCGAAGACTTATCGATAGAAAGTTAGGGGATCCCCCAAAACAGCGCTCTTACTCCATAGTGACACCTTGTGTCCCATCACTAATTAATTATTAACTCGCTAATTATAGGACATAATTCGCCCAAAATCAATAGGCTATTGGTCCAAGATATGATGAATGCACATGCAAAATTTGGAGCAGATTGAACCTCGCTTTCGTGAGATATCGCGTGCATCTAACAGACAGACAAACAGACAGACAAATACCTATCAACATACTTACCGATTAAAATCGATAAGTAATAACTAGAGCCTGGTGGTTGAAGCATTAGATTTAACAGTGGTATGGCTCATGATCGCCCTCCCGAGGCTTTTAGTACTCATGGCCCCCCGTTTATCATTCTAGTGATATTTATTAAATTATAGTGTTATTACTTATCGATTTTAATCGGTGAGTATGTTGAAAGGTATACGCGATATCTCACGAAAGCGAGATTGAATCTGCTTTGCATGTGCATTCATCTTATCTCGAACCAGTAGCCTATTGATTTTGGGCAAATTATGTTGTATAATTACCAAGTTATTAATTAATTAGTGATGGGACACAAGGTGTCACTATGGAGTAGGAGCGCTATTTTGGGGGATCCCCTAACTTTCGATCGATAAGTCTTCGATTTCTAACCGATATTCTAGTTTTTAGTTTGGTAAATTCCAAATCCCATTATGTTCAAACAATTCATAATCAACAAAAGGAAAAACTACCTGGAAAATAACCTTTTTAAGCAATGGAACTGGGAAGAAAAGGGAGATTTATTGTGGAAGGAAAGGGGAAAAATGTATTTTTTGCAGCCTTGTGGCCCCCTCTGACTGCTCTAAGGCGTTCTTGAGCGGTCGGGAACAATTGCACTAGGCCATGACCACACAAATATGAATATATATATACAAAACAAATAACTTATTTCAAATTTTGCGATTTTGGACAGTTTCATTAAATATTTCTTTCATTTTAAAATCACCCAGAAAAAACACAGAATTTTTTTTAAAATAAAGACTAAATGAGCATTACATCACACATTACATCACCAGTCTAAAATAGCAATACACATTCCATATATACACTTCACATTTCTACCAGAGTACTAGAGTCCTTTTGTCTCGACATTACTCCAAATACAATGGTCAAATGGGGTCCTATAGTAATTTCAAGAGTACTTGAAATCAAATAAATATTTGAAATACAAGGTGACATTTCCATTACGTGTTCTAAATCTTTGGGCCATGGCCCATTTCTGAGCCGCAGAAACATTTCCAGGTGGCAACAAAACTCGCGTTATTGAAATTGAGTTATTAATAAATTATTACTTATCGATTTTAATCGGTAAGTATGTTGATAGATATTTGTTAGTCTGTCTGTATGTATGTCTGTTAGATGCACGCGATATCTCACGAATGCGAGATTGAACCTGCTCCATATTTTGCATGTGCATTCATCATATCTCAGACCAGAAGCCTATTGATTTTGGATGAATTATGTCATATAATTAGCGAGTTATTAATTAATTAGTGATGGGACACAAGGTGTCACTATAGAGTAAGAGCGCTGTTTTGGGGGAACCCCTAACTTTAGATCGATAAGTCTTCGGGCTCTGACCGATATTCTCGTTTAAACTTTGATTGTTGTATCAATGAATGATGATGCTGTTTTTAGGATCTGGCATCTGGGTGGTTATTCTCATTTTAATTATTATTAAAGTGAAGTGCATATCTTTTCAAGAAGAATTTTTTTTCATTCGTAACAAACCACGAAAAACCTTATTAAAACGATTATAAACTGTCAAAAACCAACAAAACCCTTACTAAATCGTGCAAAAATCGTGAAAACCCAAGAAAAACACAACCGGTTAGGAAGTATTGCTTGGGTTTTTGAGAAGTATTACTTTTTATTTGATTATTTTAGTTAAAATTAATAGGAATAAAGCTGAACTAAACACAAAGCAATATTTCACAAACTCATCCCGAAAGCAACAAAATCCCCTCAATGTGTCACTGGTTGGGAAGTCTTGCACTAAGATATAGCAACAAGGAAGAATACACATTAGTCAGAAACATTCTACTTTGGGTGTCCAAAAAATGTTGCCTGATTTTATAATAATAACAATTGTAAGTTTAAACGACTAAACGACAAAATTCCCTCAATGTCACACTGGTTGAGAAGTCCTACACTAACATATAGCAACAAGGAAGAATCATTAGTCAGAAACGTTCTACTGAACAATACAGGGTGTCCAAAAATGTTGCCTGATTTGATAGTAATAACAATTGCAAGTTTAAATAAATTTTATTGTATGATAAATAAGAACTACAAGCACAATATAAATTATTAATAAACAAAGCCATAGAAATTTTTAATAGTTATTACCATAAAATTGAGTAAAATTTTTGGACACCCTGTATACTGTATTTGACTATCTGCACCCAGCACAGCTCAATAACTTTGCTAAATTAGTACAGTCCCTCCACATCCACATTTTTATCAAATTCAATATATGCGGCCAATCTTGAACCGAATACAGTAACAAACAATTTTCTAAGGGCCAGGTATGAACAAATATAATAACATTGATCAATTCTTTACCTTTACCTAAGTTCTGCGAATACACATTTACATCTGTCCAATCTTGGGCCAAACATAATAAACAGATAATATTCTATGAACCAAGGATGGTCAAACAAAATAATGATCAATGCCTAAATGACATGATCCTGTTTCCTGTCTTATAATAAACATAAAGAAACATGCACACCATATACTAAGAGTTTCGATGAGTGTGAAAATGATTGGACGCGAAGTGGACCCGTGGATCATTTTGTTATTATGTTGATGTTGTCTGTATTTTTTATCTTGTTGTTATAAATCGCTTTCCTCATTCACTAATGCAAAGGTGTGCAACCTGCATCCCGCAAGAAAAAATTGTGCAGCCCGTGCAGAAGTGCCAATTTTGAAAGGTGTGTGGACCACAAGGATAAATTGTACGGCCCACGGAGAAGTACCAATGGTTTGCGGCCCATAAAACAAGTTTTTACATAAGTTTAATAGGATATGTGAGAGTAATCCTAATCCCTGCCTATGACGTAACAATGCCCTGACAGCTGGCCTTTGCGAAATGAACAACGCATGTCATAAGAGGGTGACCGTACATTTGAACCCATGTACATTTGAACCCATGCGTATATCCACGGGTTCAATCTATATGCGGGTGCTAAAACCCATGGGTTAGGGTTAGTATGGGTTTAACTACCCGTGAAACAAAAAAAAATTCCATAGGTGCAATAGCATACAGGTGAAATTGTCATGGGTTCAAATGTACGTGGGTTCAAATGTAATGGAACCTCATAAGAGCAATACCCAAAACTTTTGTGCTTGCAACCACTAGAAAGCCTTAAAGAAGGTGCGGCCAGCGGTTTCCCCCTGTCACTCGTTGTGTATTTGTTGTATTTTTTACTAGAAGGCTAATACTTTTTTCTATTTTGAAAATTTTCTATGTCTTTTGTCTGGATCCTCTATTGTAAATTATTAATAAAATCAAAAAATGGAATAAAAATAAAAATTTCCTCAAACTTAAAAAATTCATAGATACAGAATATAATTCTCTTATAGCTGTAAGTTTTAAATATAAATAATGCTACAGCATTCCGCAAATATATATTTCATTTTAGTTTTTGGATAGTCAGAAAAATTCCAACATTTTTTTTGAAAATAAAAACAATACAATCATTAAGTCACATATTACATCAGCTTTATAGAATGTATCGAATATTTCACAAAAATTCCACCGCTAAAAAATTTACTTTTTGTTCATAGATCATAATGATTTGTATATTGCAAAGATGCTGCAGCAATAACGAAGATGACTATTTGATTCAAAAGATTAGCTGCACACTAACAAGAATGTATTTCTCTAACATTTCTGACGAAGGTCTGACAATTATCTTAAAACTGTGGATTTTAAATATATATATTGCTACAGAAATCAGCAGAAATTTCAATACAATTCATTTAAATACTTTTTTAATTTTTAGATCGCTCAGAAAGCATTACATCAACCATTTTATACAATGTACGTAAAATTCCGACCATGGAAATTCCACAGATAAAAACAAACAAGTCTAAAAATATGACATCACACAAAACACGATCAACAAAAGAGCCTATCAATGGAAATTTAGGTTGAATTTTTTTTATTATTCCCCGGAGGAAATTTTCAATGAATAAGGCTTTCTGAAAAAAGAATTTTTGAATAGAATTTTTATGGGCAATATCCATAACGAGAATATCGGTCAGAGACGAAGACTTATCGATAGAAAGTTAGGGGATCCCCCAAAACAGCGCTCTTAATCCATAGTGACACCTTGTGTCCCATCACTAATTAATTATTAACTCGCTAATTATACGACATAATTCGGCCAAAATCAATAGGCTACTGGTCCGAGATATGATGAATGCACATGCAAAATTTGGAGCAGATTCAACCTCGCTTTCGTGAGATATCGCGTGCATCTAACAGACAGACAAACAGACAGACAAATACCTATCAACATACTTACCGATTAAAATCGATAAGTAATAACTAGAGCGTGGTGGTTGAAGCATTAGATTTAACAGTGGTTCTTAGCCTTTTATGGCTCCTCCAGAGGCTTTTAGTACTCATGGCCCCGTTTATCATTCTAGTGATATTTATTAAATTATAGTGTTATTACTTATCGATTTTAATCGGTAAGTATGTTGATAGGTATTTTTCTGTCTGTCTGTATGTCTGTTAGATGCACGCGATATCTCACGAAAGCGAGATTGAATCTGCTCCAGATTTTGCATGTGCATTCATCTTATCTAGGACCAGAAGCCTATTGATTTTGGCCGAATTATGTCGTATAATTAGCGAGTTATTAATTAATTAGTAATGGGACACAAGTTGTCACTATGGAGTAGGAGCGCTATTTTGGGGGATCCCCTAACTTTCGATCGATAAGTCTTCGGTCTCTGACCGATATTCTAGTTTTTTGTTTGGTAAATTCCAAATCCCATTATGTTCAAACAATTCATAATTAACAAAAGGAAAAACTACCTGTAAAATAACCTTTTTAAGCAATGGAACTAGGAAGAACAGGGAGATTTATTGTGGAAGGAAAGGGGAAATATGTATTTTGTGCAGCCTTGTGGCCCCCTCTGACTGCTCTAAGGCCCTCTTGAGCGGTCGGGAACAATTGCACTAGGCCATGACCACACAAATATGACTATATACAAAGCAAAAACTTTTTTCAAATTTTGCGATTTTGGACAATTTTATTAAATATTTCTTTCATTTTAAAATCACCCAGGAAAAACACAGAATTTTTTTAAAAATAAAGACTAAATGAGCATTACATCACACATTACATCACCAGTCTAAAATAGCAATACACATTCCATATATACACTTCACATTTCTATTCGAGTACTAGAGTCCTTTTGTCTCGATATGACTCCAAATACAATGGTCAAATGGGGTCCTATAGTAATTTCAAGAGTACTTGAAACCAAATAAATATTTGAAATACAGGGTGACATTTTCCATTACTTTTTTAAATCTTTGGGCTAGCCAGAGGGCCATGAGGGCCATGGCCCATCTCTGGGCCACAGGAACATTTCCAGGTGGCAACAAAACTTGCGTTATTGAAATTGAGTTATAAATAAATTATTTAAACTTTGTTTGTTGTATCAATGAATGATGATGCTGCTTCCAGGATCTGAGTGGTAATTCTCATTTCAATTATTAAAGTGAAGTGCTGATCTTTGCATGAGAAAGTTAATTCCGACACAGATTTCAATGTTACCTTGTTTTTCATATATGTGTTTGTTTTCAAGTACTCTTGAAATTACTATATAAGCTGATCCCTTATTTTTTTTACTTTCAAACAGTACGGATATACGACACATTTTCCTCGTAGTTTATAAAGTCAATATAGTAACACACCCCTGATTGAATCAGTAAATAGAAAACTATTATTCACTTAACCACATAAGAACTTAATTGCCAAAACTAAGTTTTGCTACTGAGTACATTTGGGTGAGGCCATCCTTATATAAGTGAACTGGTCTACCAAAAGCACAGGCAAGATTTTCAAAAGAAGGGCGTTTTAAAATCGGAAATTCTTGTGCAACGGCTTTTGAAACAGTCATTGCGATTACATCACTTATTAAAACAGCCAATTTTTCATGGTATAATGAATTCTATGTTGCACAAAATTCAATCCATGCCCAGTACCATCTTGACCTAGTAATTTAATTGTGTTCAAGGTAACTCTCAAGTGCATCGATTTGCAACAAAATACAAGCACTACTTGGAAAAATAAATACTAAACCATTATTTACTTATACTTAACCCACTAACTTAATTGCCATCGCGAAGGTCTACTACAGACATCATTCGGTTGAGGTCAAGACTCGACACCTCAAAACCAAACAGTGCTAAGTCCACTTTTCAAAAAAATGACATTTTTCAATTGCTGATTTTCCTGGACTTAGCTCTACATTTTGGTCTATTTGCCTTATCTCTAGGTGCTCTAGATCTCAAGACAGCTATGGACATAACCCTGCTTTTTTTAGGGCATTTGAGAACTAAACAGAGCTGTGTCTACTATAGTGGACTTAGCTCTGGATAACTGCATTGTAAGTTGGGGCTAAGTCCGTTTTTTGGACATAGCTCCTCTCAAAAAATATAATACAAAGCGCTAAGTCCATACCAGCCTCTATAATAACATAATAAAGGGGCCCTAAGTCCCATAAAATTGTTTCTGGTCCAGAAAACTGAGAGCCAAAAAGGGTTAAGTCCAAAAAAACGTCATGCGTCAGAGTGTGTCTGTTTATTAAAAGCAGTGAACTGGTCCACCAAGGGCGCAGTCAGGATTTTTGGAGAAGGAGGGAGGGGTTTCAAAATCGGTAATTATCATACAGCGCCTTATGAAACAGTTGCCACGATTATGTCATGCCCTAAAAAAGCCAACTTTTTGAGGGTTTAATAATTTTTTGTTGCACAAAATATTTAATGCATGACTAACACCAATTTTATTGTGATCAAGGTTGCGTCGACTAACAACAAAACAAAGAATATCGGTCAAAGACCGAAGACTTATCAATTCAAAGTTAGGGGATCCGCCAAAAAACAGCGCTCTCACTCCATAGTGACACCTTGTGTCCCATCACTAATTAATTAATAACTCGCTAATTATACGACATAATTCCTCCAAAATCAATAGGCTTCTGGTCCGACATATGATGAATGCACATGCAAAATCTGGAGCAGATTCAATTTCGATTTCGACAGACAGACAAACAGACAAATACCTACTTACCGTACTTACCAATCTAAAGATCGATAACAACGATAAGTAATAAAAGCACTAAGACTATACTGTGAGATACCTAAGCAAATACTGAAGCATTATTTACTTGATCAGCCACACCCGCGAACACATAGGCTACCTTTTCTTTTGAAAACACCTTTATTAAATCTAAAATCTGTACGTTTTAAACCTTACAGCAGGTTTTGTTCACTTTCCTGATTATGTAATCAGTTTTATTTATTTTGTTTCTATCAACTTATTCTCTAAATTCAACTCATTTAATGCATGAATGAGCAGCAGAGCTTAAAATTAACGCAATTTTTGATAAATAGGGTCATGTTTGATAACAGATAAATTTTGCAGAAATATATATTACCGGTAATGCATAACAGTTAAGATTTTTTTATTTTAATAGAAATACATCTAAATTAAATTTATTTAATGCATGACTAGGTAGCAGAGCTTAAAATTAACACATTTTTTATAAAATTGGGTCAATAAATAAATTTACACAAATCTTTTTAAATAAGAAAAATAATTTAGTAACTCAGTAGAATCAAGATTTTTTGATTTTTGCATATTTAACTTGTAATTTATTGAATGGCTGAATAGCAGAGCTTGAAATTAACACAAATTCTTTTAATAAAGTTGCAACTAATTCACATTTATCAATATCTTGATTATCAATAAATTGTCTGCTTTCATGGAATTTTGGGAAAGTCCAGACTGACTAAGTGCGCAATAAATAAGATTATAATTGTCGCATTGATTAAAATTATCCCGTTATTAAGGAATAGCCGAATCGTTTTTATTTTGCGAATACACATTACGCAATTACATCCATGCTAAACAGAAAGGTCTAAGGTAAATTGAATATTCAAAAGCTTTTAAAATTAGTTGAAGCTGAGGAAAACTCAAGGCCGACTTATGTTACGTCAGCAAATCAGTTAAAAATGGTTTGATCTTACTAACAACAACATAAATACAGATTAAACATTCAATCGGCACTGTTTCCACTTACTGCTTGTGACCCATTTTGTCTTTGAGCGAACTCATAAAATATAAAACGAGATAGCGATCAGAGATCGCCGAGTTATCGATCTAGCGGCGTGTATCCTTCGCTCTGACTCAATAGCGACACCGTCCCATCACTGATTAATTAATAACTCACTAATTATACGACATAATTCATCTAAAATCAATAGGATTCTGGTTCTAGATATGATCAATGTACATGCAAAATTTGGAGCAGATTCAACCTCGCTTTCGTGAGATACCGTGTAACATATGAAAGTGTCTAACAGACAGACAAACAAACAGACAAATAACTATCAACATACTTATCGATCAAGATTGATAGGAAATGACTGAATAACATATAAATTTCACTCACCAGTTCTGAACCAACAGACGAATACATGCTTTCTCTGACAGCCTGTGTTGCGCTCTCTCTTCGTTTGGACGCCGTTCCTGGTCTGTTCAGGCCTAGATGAAAAAGAGAATTTATTTACCTCCACTTTGGCAGTAAATACACATGGTGACCCCAAAAAACAAAACCCATAAACTCTTAATTATTCCTACGAAAATGAGGAAAATTTATTTAACAATCGAATTTCTATTTGTGTATGATTGAACCCAAATGTTTCAGTAATCCAGGTGTTTTGCATAAAAGTTATGTTCTCTTTAGAATATGTTCCAAATGGTGACCGTACATTTGAACCCATGTACATTTGAACCCATGCGTATATCCACGGGTTCAATCTATATGCGGGTGCTAAAACCCATGGGTTAGGGTTAGTATGGGTTTAACTATCCGTGAAACAAAAAAAATTCCATAGGTGCAATAGCATACTGGTGCAATTGTCATGGGTTCAAATGTACGTGGGTTCAAATGTAATGGAACCGTTCCAAATGACCTGAGTTCAGTTATTTGGAGGGTGACCCTGTGGTATGGTTAGGGCTGGGATTCTTAAACTGGGACCTCAGTCCCTGAAAGGCTACAGAGCGGATCTCTTAAGGTCAATAGCACAGCCTTCACTAGGTACGATTCACGATAGCTTCAATTTGAAGTAAATTGACTGTGATTTGTCGAATTTTTTGATAGAGATGCGTTTATTCTTTGCTTGCGTTTATTGGCTTTTTATCATTGAAACATGGCAGATGAAATAAATGATAACAACATGTTGAACGCAGGGCAGAGGACCAGCATCGACAGCCTTTTCAAAGAGTTTGGAATTTTTGAGAACTACTGGGTTAGGTATGGCCGAAGCAAAATAACATACTATTACAAAAACATTCTAAAAAAATTAAAAAAAATTATTTTAACTACGGTAAATACCTTTGGCGAATTTCCTTGTCCCAGCAGACATGTCTCATATCTTGTATACGATCCAATGATAATTCCAAAATATGAGTTATCCAAATTGCTCCAGCTTATAAATAATAATCCAAAAAAAGTTTGACTATTCTTTCCAAAATTTACGCGACTCTTGTTTGTCTTCACATGCTCTTTATTTAATAACTTTATAAATTATTATGAAAAAAATGTTCTGCCCAAAAAGAATCGATTGCATTAATGATCATAGGAAGCAGAAACAAAAAAATGAAGTAAATGAAAACAGGTATAATGCAAGATTGCCTATAAGCCCTGTTGAGGTAAAGACATGTCTTAACTTGCGAAAACAGATACCTGGCTAACTAATCCCTTATCCACATGGACTGGTAACCGGACGTGAGGCCGTTGTTCGTCATATGATTAAGCCGTCTTATTCACTTTCCTCCCCCCCCCCCCCCCCCCCAAGACAGATAGGTAAATCCACATACTTTATGTATAGTTGGTTCATTGATTAACTCGAGACTTGAGGTAAATCAAGTCAGTGCAAAAATGAAGACAGATAGGAGGTAGTGAGCTCTACAAAAATGACTTTGCGAGGTTAACACAGTTCTAGGACAACGAGGTGACATAAGATGGTTTCAGTTATGCGTTGGATTTCCAGTCGGTTGGGAGATGTTTAACTAATAATATACAAATACATGTGTATTTACAGAACATTTGGGCATAAAGTAGTGACATATATCAGTATACCGATAACCTGCTAGCACTGATACAATACACTACAATTATTTGCTGTACAGAGATATCAACCTAACCTAAAACCATAAACCCTCCCAAATATGTAGTTCCAGAAATATATCTACCACCTGGCAGCACATAATATTACTACATTATGAACAAATTATTCTGTCAGTCACGGCTCATTGAATGGATTATTGCAGAGTCTGATTTAAACTGAATAAGGCATCACCTAGCTGAGCGATTACCAGCCTTGGAAGATTTTGCCTGTTTTGGGAGGAGAATTTACTTTGTATTTGCATGTAATAATACCAATATAGACTCATTTAGTAGTTTTGTAACACATATTTATATACTCATTACAATCTATTGAAAAGCCAGAGTTTGGGTTACATATAGCGACAATTTAGCTGATATTCAAGTACTGACCGAACATCGAGTAGAAACTGAATTCTTGTTTTCAAGTGAGGAGAATAAAGAGTTACAAAATAGACAGAGAGGAAAGGATGTTGGTAACACTGCTAAACATGCTTTGTTTCATACAGCCCTGCCTTGAGGATGAAAATACAAATTGCGTTTTTAATGTGACTGCAGCTCTATGCAGTTGGTTATGTTGGAGGAAAACCAGCTAAAATCACCCAAAATTCAATAAAGTATGAAATGATTTTGAACAGAGGTAAACTGAGAACAGCAGCCATTGTACAGAAAGAAATTGAAGCGGCATATTGTTAAACAATAATTATGTTACAAACAAAGAAGACTAAAAACTCAGGAGAATGTAAAAGCACTCATAGTAAAATTACCAAGACAAAGTTCAAAAAGTCTTCGTTGCAATAGTGCTAACACCAGTACGCATGGTATAAGGAATACACCAACCAGTCATAGCATGAATGATAGCAAGGTGCCATGTTAAGTAGATTTGTTAAGATAATGAAATAAGATAAAAAATTGATTCGATAGGATAAAAAGTTCAAGTGAATAAAAAGCACTGATTGTAAACTTCACCAGACAAATTACAAAAAAGTGTCCTGCAATAATGCTAGCACCAATACTGTTGATTGACGCTAATGCATCATACCAAGCAATAGGAAGACACTTGTTATCGCAGAAGTGTCGCCCTGCATGGATTTACAGATTCAAATAAATCATCGAAAAAGATGACTTGACTCCTCCTGATCTTGATCCATGTAACGTAAGTTCCACCAGCAATTCCATGAATCTTCTGTACCAGAGATCAATCACGCCCCCTAGTGGATCTTACACTTCACTGATTAATTTTTTTTCGTCATTTATATGGTCTTCATCATTTTCCCCTTCGTCAGACGATTCATCGCTAGACGAGTCAGAATCATATAAATTTGAATTCAGTAAATCAAGAATCGGTGCCGGAATATTTTTACCTTCCGTGTCACTAGTTGGCACCAGAGATAAGTCAATTTCAATAATTCTATCCTCATTATTTACATTTTCAATGTCATATTTGTCGGTGATTCCTTTGGAAAGGTCATTCTGAAGGTCAATGTTCGCTTTGCTAATTTGGGGCAAGAAGTCTTTGACTCTACTAAGAACTGAACTCTTAGGTAAATCCCTTATATCCGGTTTTCTCTTATTATCACATTTCACAGATGACTTGTCATGCTCGGTGAAGCATAAAATATCATTCTCCAGTTTTGACGGATTAAATTCCAAAAATTCATTATTAGTCTCCGTCTTTTCGTTTTGAGTTGCCATCGAAATTTTCCAATATTTCAATATTCCTTGATATTATAATTCAGTATAAAACCACGATCCCTCGAAAAATATTCTGTAAAGTTTTGAAAATTATATATTTACTAGAGCTATAAAAAATAGGTAAAACAAAATGTAAGTTTAGTACAGACCAACAGGGGAGGACACTTCCATAATTATTTTCCGAACGGGAGGGGGGTTGTTGGTGAGAACTGTGAAACAACATGTGAGAAATTGTAAGAAAACAGTTATCATAATCAGAAATCCTATTATTTATTTGTGCCCGGTGCAAGTTGCAACTGCCTTCAAAATAATGGTTATTTTATAAGTCAGAAACAACATGTGTTTAGATATAGACAAAATTATTGCGGGGGACGGTCGCCCCCCCAAGAAAATAAATTGAGTAAGGAAAATTATTCAAAGCTAGGTCACACACACACACACACACAAAAGTAAATGAGACTTATATCTGGAAAAATAAACAATTGAAAATCACATAAAATGATGCCTAATGCATTACATCACAGTACATGCCAGAAACACAAGTGAGTTATTTGTGAACTTAACTAGAATACTTATGTTTTCACACTGGGGTATCCGTATGCATGTAATGCAAGGAACTGTCAGTACGGCACACTATCCAAATTCCAAGAATTTCTTCTTATTTGGCTCAATAATAAAACAAACACTCCATTCGTCTCACAAATGAGGGGTGTCTGGCACCACGTCAGATGCTTCATATCGCGCCATGCCTGTCTCAATGATAATCTAAAGTAATCGAAGCCGTCACATGACACGTGACTTGCCGTTTTTTTCTAAAAACTCTCGAATGCCACAGGTAAGTTTTTTTCCTTGGTAAATCGGGTTATTTTTTCCCAGAGGAATTCAATGATGACGTTAATAGATTGCGCTTTTTTTGTAGTTTTTGCGCAACTCCATTATACTGTATTATTACCGTTATTGAGGGACAACAATGTCCAGACGTCTCCCAAAGGAGGGGTATCTGATCATCAGTAAAATGGGTTTGAAACGAGACAATGTCGCTCGATCTATATAGTACGTCGTACGAACTGTAGCAAGTGTGAAGATGCCTGTCTTTAAGTTACTAGTCTGGAGACTTGTTCTGATCAAGTTTCAAACATCTACATATACTTCCCATATGCCCCTGATTCCAATTTCTTCGAGGGATCTTCTTCTAATATCAAATCGGACGGACGAACTAAATCAAAATTATCTAAAATATCTTTCATGTCAGATTCCCGAATTCTAATTTTTTCTGCCAATTCCGCTGGACCCCAGCCAATAGGATCAATTTTATGATTATGCATTGCTTCAAGAATTTTTTGAATTTTTGCGCGGCCGCGTGGTACATCGCTATCCAAATTTCCAGTTTTAAGAGTCTTAGATTGTGGTAATTTACGTTCCTTGCTGTTAACAACTTTATACGGTTCCTGTTTAGGGTCCTCAGATGTCAAATAAACGTCTTTTATCATATTGAGATACGATTTATCTTCTTCTTGAGAGCTCCTCGCTTCGGACAACTTTTGCGCTCTTATATCGTCCGGTATTTCAATTTTTGATAAATTCATCGGTGCTCGTTTTGGGTTTTCAAGTTCCTTTTCCATGTATTTATCCATTTTCTGTTCAGCATTGTATTGTTGGCTTTGGTTTTTGATCTTACGCATCCCATGTAATTGCACGGCATCGACTCCTTCTTTCACAACCTTATTTACTTTTTGAAACTGCGTAGCGGCCTGTGTTATTTTTGTGTTTGAACCACCCATGACTCAAACTTTGGAGGTACGATGTAACACAGTAAAAACCTATTAACAAACATAAAATTATAATATTAATAAACGAAATAGTACAGTGGTTTCCAACCTTTTAGGGCTCGTGACCCCCGTTCCGAAGGCTATTAGGACTTATGTACGTACCCCTGTTTATCATTCCAGTGGTATTTATAGTGTTATTTCAATCAGTGTATTTCAGATCCCATTATGTTAAAAATTCATGATCAACAAAGTGAAAACACCCTGTGAAATAACATTACCAAGCAAATATTTTAAAAAAAATTGGAAGTTTTCTTTAAAGTAGAATCAGTTTTGTGTCCAGTAAGGTGTCAATGCCAACTGCTTTAATGCCCCCTTAGGGGTGCAACGAACCCCGATTGAGAACCGCTGCATTAGTAGTTGGAGTGGGTCTCATGTAGTTTCATACCTAACGTACTTCTAGAGGGCGTCCTAACCACCACCTGACTACGCCATCCAAAAATTACATCACAGTGACGTAATAGAGCCCTTCAAACTATACGAACTGTCACCCAAGACGCGCAGACGAGAACCCGAAATAGAACAGCTATTTCTCTTGTTTTCTCGTCGCAGCGATCCCAATAGGAGAGAGATCGCTGACGTTAGTCAGTTCTTTATCGTCGGCGCCGATGCCATTTCAGGCGATCGTACATATATTTGGCAAGCTCTATGACGTGATTATGACGTGGGGGTTAGGATTGACATGTCAAAAAATTGTTATGCTACGCCCACTAGAAGTATGTAAGTTCGAAACTACACGAGACCCGTTGGAGTGTGGGACTCAACCATGCACATCAAAAGTCATTGGAGTTGAAAACTTGGGGTGGTTGGGGCCAAGCGAGAAATTCCATAACAGCAGGAGTAACTTTTCAGGAAATAATTGCTGCAAATGCAGAGACTTGAGTGAGTGAAGGCGAAAAAATGTCTAATGAACAATTTAAACATGTGTATCATTTACAACTGTTCTATCAGTACGGTACTCCTGATCTTTCACAGTATTACTTGGAAACTCTAAATTTGACTTTAGGAAACTTGCAACTCTGCCCCGCGACTTCCCTTCCCCAGTAAAACTGTGTACGGTAGACTACGTACATTCTGACATTATGATGATGTTTGTTTATTTTTTTTTACTGGTTGGGAAAAAATAAACTTGACTTGCAGACTTGGCAACCAATATTTTTTTATCAATGGAGGTACCGGTATTGGGATCATATTTTCAGCAACATTGCAATTTACCAGATGCCATACCGGTACCGGTACCGGACTGTCTAGTCTGCAAGTCCTACACTAAAGCCAGGTGATAATATTATCAAACAATCAATAAACTTTTAATTAATCAATCAATCAATTATTAAGTCTATCTATAGCAACACTCTTAACACGCATAAGTAACGTACCGGTACCGGTACTCTCGTTTAACTGTTTAAAGATTCTCCAAGGATTCCAGTATACATGGACATCCACCGGAATTCGACCACACGCACTGATAACCGCGTCAGTACCTGCGGTCCGCCCACGTGTTTTAAAGCCCCGTCTTATGGACTTTTCTCTCCTTGAGCCAAACCATGAACCCCTGGACCGATGGACAAAAACCCCGACATGAAACCAAGGTGCAGCTCTGGACCAAAATATCTCCCAAATGCACAGTTGCGCCACTTGTGGGTTGTGGTACTACGGAATACATCAAACACCTCGCCAATATGCATTTCGGAAATTTTCCGAGTATTTCATGATATTTTTGGACACTTTTTTTTTGCCAAATTGACTTCCAGAGCCAATATGGAATATGGAGCTAATATTTTTAGACACGTAAGTGGACACAATGACATTAAACAACATGATGCGCAACTCCGGCATTTTTGTCCGAAGATCATATTCGATAGCACGCTCCAATGCACATACTTGACGAGACGAAAACGAGCGGATGTGTGCTGCTTTCAAGGCGTAGCACGAATGGTGTTCGTGCCTGCTTTGACAGTTGTTGTCGATTTTAATGATATTTTGGAAAGTTGAGTTAAAAAGAAATTGGAAAAAGGTAAGGTAAATACTATTGTTGTATATCACACCCGGGCATCGCACTGTTAAGTGCATGTGGGAAAGCCAGCTTTTTCAAATACTACAAAGTTATGGCTCCAGTACGGTACGTACGGTAGTTGCCCATTTGCCGAAATTGCATATTTACTTACCCCTTATGGTTTTAAATAGTTCATGCACCTTCATTTAGATTTTTCTAACCAATGAGGATATATACGCATTGCTGTAACATACTATTGCTCAATCACTCTTATTGGCAGATTGATTCAAAGGGTTAACAAGTTCACCTAACATTTCACCCATACCGGTCTATATTGTATAGTATGATCTCTCAAGTATATGAAGCCACGAATGCCTGTAATTTTCGGACTAAACCCCTTCATTAGTTGGTTTATATACCAAATTCAGTAAAACATTTTTTACATTTAACATGAGTTATTGGATTTATTAACTTTTCCATTCTAAATCATATAGACTGCTTTAAATATTCTTGACGAAAATTAATAAATCTCCTCTTTTTCTTCAGATGTGAATGTTGTGGACAAATCTGTATAAGCATCGTAAGATACCTGCAAGAAGCAATAGCAAAAATAGTAAGAATATCAATCAAGAAATTAAGTCGACATAAAGCAAAACTATTCGTCTGACCTCAATTTCCCATTATTTATTCACAGGACAACTGTAGCAGACGGGGAGATATCAGAAGTCTGGCGAAATATCAGAGACAGTGTGATTCCAAGAAATACAATTAAAGTACTCCATAAATGTTTGCAATAGAAGAACAACCTATGGAAGCATGCAAAGACATTTGACCCTCCGGTAGAGTTGTGTATAGGTCTTATTCGTAAAAAGGCGCAAAACACGCCAGACATACTCAAAACAGCTTTGGAAATGTAGATTATGGGTCACTCACAACACCTGTGTTAGAATTGGTTCCATAAAATTTTGGTAGTACTATAGAAGAAATTCAGGGAAGGGTATAATCATAATTCATGATAAAATACTGTTCAATATTTAGGACAACTTCAATATAGACCAGGGATGTCAAACTCGCGGCCCTAGAGAACTTCCAGTGCGGCCCTCGAACACTAAACAATAATTGTAATAGTTTTTAGAAAGCTTTTTTTTTATCTAAATGTAAAAGATTTTTCCAATTTTTTAAAGTGAAATTGATTATTCACGCAAAAAACAATTTACTGAAAGTAGTTTTAAAAAATTAATTTTTTTTGTTCACATTTTGACCCAATTAAGAATTTACACATCAAGCTAGCAAAAGAATACTTGAATAAAAACATTTGAGTGGATAAATTAAACACAAAGTACATGAAGAAGGTGGCATTTTCGAAGAAAAATGGGAGTTACAATATTTCTGCCTTTCTCAAAATTCTAAAGCACATTGCTTTTGTTTTGTCATATTTCCATCAGTACAATGAAATAACACAATAAACTCAGCAGTCAAAATGACAAATTCAAAGACCAACTTCGAACAGAAAATTTCCATGTGTTTGTATATTAATATAATTATACAACGACTTACTTTACTAAAAATCAATATCAACAACAAGCAATTCAATGCCACACAATGTGGCGCGAAATTTCTTGTCAAAAAAATCTGTCATTTGTTTGTTTACTGATCTATACGCTTTCTTTAATTACTGGAATTAATTAAACATTCTCACAGATCCATATTAACCCATGATCATGTGACCTCGTTAGTTACTATAAGAGTTGGTACTATAAAATCATTTCAGCCTGGCCTTAGTATGCTGGTGACACAAAAAAGATGCCAAACGTCAGGACAAATGTAATTGAGTAAAAGTATTTTTGTTAATTTTAGGTCCATATATTTAGATTAAGTCATTCTTAGTGTATTTATTATTCTTTCCTTATCCAAAGCTTGTTCAAAAATGATTTTGATGGTTGTACATAGGGTTTCATGATTTTTTTGTAATAAATACAGTAACTTGCAATAATAGTGGAATGCAAATATTGATATGTAATTGCATTTGAAATTAAAGAAAATAATAAAACTTAATCCAACTGTTTAATTGCATCACAATATATGTCTCAAACTAAAACTATCTTTTAAGTATATATTATCAAAAACTGTTTGCGGCCCTTTTTACAATTTCCAAAATGAGATGCGGCATATTGTATGACTTGTATTGTAACTTGTATTTGCTGTCGCGATGTATTATCTCAATGTGTCAAACTTTTAATTAGTGTGCATATTTTGCTTTCAGGTGACATGAATGTATTGTCTTGTTTATTACCTCAGCTTGGAGTATTGACAAGAAAAATGTGCCAGTAAATTACGTAAAATTTTTTTTAACCATTTGTTATAATCAGAATTCACAATTAATAGGAAATATAAACAGCCAACAATCAATGAGAACTATATGCAAAAGTCCTCAGATTAAATTTGTCTTCTAAAATCGGAGGAAGGCAAAAGATATAGGTAGTTTCCTTTCACACAAGTCTTTCAAGAAGACTTGCTCGAGCCAAACTAAATGAGCATCATCAGGTGATCGGGAAGGCTGCAAGTTAAATTCAGCCCTGCAACCTCCTGCATAGACGATAATATTAATTAGTGGGCTATGAGCTAAATTTAGACACAAACATATCTACGAGGCATTATGTACCATCAATGTTACTTACGACGATAAACTGAATATGTAATATGTCTAATAAATTCACCTACTAAAGCTCGATGGGTGCAAACTTTGTGTTATGGAATTGTATCACAGCACCGTTAAGAGAAGTATAAACAGTCTTGCTGTTTTGTAAGACACCCTCTTTAAATCATATTTCAATGTTTAGGTACAAACATTAAAAGTAGTAACTTTGAACTTTGTCATTATCTGCAAAAGTTCCACACAAATCTTTACACTATCGCGTTTGTAATCTTCTCTGATAAAATAAAAATGTCTATGATGTCCGGAATTACTCTTTACAGCTAGCTTGTCTGCCATTCCAGCTTTCCAAGTGAGCAAAACTTCTTAGATATAATGATTATTTTCTTTTGTCACAGGCGTAAAAAGGCAGATACTACACGTGAAGAACGGTCTCGAAAGGCGACGATAACTATGTGCATTGGAGCGTATCATGAAATACAATCTTTCGCGTATAGTCTTATGGAGTGACGTCAGAGTTGCCTATCATGCTGTTTAATGTCATTGGTCAAACCAACCTCGTGTAACTCCGGAAATTTCTCCCGATGTTGAATTCGCCGACACGCTTGACTTGGTGCAAACAGATTATTATTGCTTCGAAAATCATCGTGCGACTTCCTGCGTTTTTCTGTGTTCTGACGGCGCTGTCTCGCGTCAAGATTAAGTGAGTGACTTATAAATATTCAAGTTAGTTGTGCACATGGAATATTACACGATATACTTGACTATAGAACTGATAGAATGCAGATTACAAAACAAAATAAAGGAACAACCAATTGAGTGGGAAGGCCCGTGGACCAGTTCAGCACTCGAAAGCACATTGACAGTAAGATTTTAAATTCACTTTAATGCTCCCATGACTAGATGTAGTCTAGTGGAGAGCCGCTTTGTGCTACGATTGTTCAGCATAAAAAAGAGTAAGTTGTAAATGTTTTTATAGGTACCCAATACAGTAATGATTGAATGTCAAGGAATGTAAATTTTGATAAGAGATATGTGTATTTTCGGATCATAAAAAAGTTGCAGTGTGAAGATTTATGCTGTATGATCAAATCAAGAATATAAATTGACTGATGGGTGATTGAAATTGTGACGTCTGTATGAAAAACATAAATTAAACACACATATTTTAACTTCAATTAATCAGTGTTTTATGATGGAGCTCTACTGATCTTGATAATTTTTTCCCAGACTCATTCTGTCATTGTATACGAAGTCACCAGCTGCATATCCAACATAAGAGGTGTTTTCCGTTTGCCATGATAATCCATTTTGCTTGATTTCAGGCTGATACTAATAACCCTTTTCACATAAATTGAATACCTATTATTGCCATTATCTAAACATGGCTTCAACATATATATATATATATTTATAATTTTAGATGTGCCAAAAAGTTTTGAATTATTTTGTCGAGTGTTTTTAAATTATTGATTTGTGATCAATAGCAATAACTTTTTTGCTACTGCAAAATCCACCACATTCATTGAATGCATTTTTATTTCTCCTGGAACCGTTACATTTCATTAATTCCAATTTGTTTTGTGGGGTATTTACATTTTGTTTCAAATAATACTTTGTCAAAGTGGCTGTTATACCTATAGATAAACACATACATGCTTAGATGGTAGACAAGGTTCAATCGTTGTGAGCAATTTATTTCAAAATATCGTAACTAAAATATAAATTTTTGCAGACGTCTCGAAACTCACTTTTGAAGAGTGATTTCTGTCACCAGATGGGGTTTTGACATGGAAACACATCTAGAGAGATTAAAACATTTGAAACAGCCATGTAAACTAACAGACTAACATGTTTAACTCAATAGCTTGATAAAAATGTCTGTTAAATATTGAGCACAGGTATAGCACAAAGAATTGTTTTGGTATTAATTCATTTGTTTTTTCCTATTAGATCTATCTTCTATTGAGCATTTAAATACTTGGATCATGAATAATATTTCTAAAATTACCAACAGTATTCAGGTCATTAATATCAGATAAACCGGGGAAATTTTTCTTTGTAGGTTCTTCCTGCATCTGTTGCTAGGATATCGAAGATGTCTGAATTTGAAGCAACGACAAGTTTTGCAAACTGGAAAATACCTTTTTTGACATATGCAAAAGCACTACTGACGTGGCTTCCCCTGTAATGAATGAAAAATATAGTACCTTGATATAAGGCTTTATTCAACTTAAATTTAAAGCACTCTTAGAATGAATCTAAAACAATATAACACAAGCAAATGTTATTAAACAAGAAAACAAATACGTATCGAATTGCTGATGCTAACAGTAAGCGGCTCAATAGTTAAATGAATAAAGTTGAAAGAATTAACACACTACATCTACAGCACAGCAATGATTGGTGTCTGATTTAAAACGCCACAGCAATCATTGCTTGACTGCAGCTGTATAAACAAATAGATACATTGAGTTGCATTTCCAAGTTATCACATTCACCGCCACTTTAGAGATTTAGTCTGTCTACGGTTCGGCGTTCCCTGGTTGATCTCCTTAGAACTGGAGGCGATGGAGATCTAGAGACAATATTATTTTCAACAATATCTTCTTGCGTTTGAGTTTTATTGTTTCCTTGATTGATAGATGGAGACATAAGTTGAATCGAAGACTCGTCTCTAACGTGCAATGGTGTTTCGTGGTTGATATTGTCTGTCCCTTGCCTATTCATCGAAATTTCGTAACCGACAGGGGCCAGATGTTTTGAGGCTACAGTTGTTTCTCTGCCATCTGGAAATCGAACATGAGCATATTGTGGATTTGCTTCCAGAAGCTCGACTTCATCTACTAAAGGTTCGGTTTTCGACTTCCTGACATATCTTTTCAAAAGCACTGGTCCCGGCGTTGACATCCAGGATGGAATAGAACATCCAGACATAGATCTTCTGGAGAATTTGAAAACTCGCTCATGAGGAGTCTCATTGGTGGCTGTACACAACAACGACCGTATTGAATGCAAAACATCAGGCAAAACCTCATGCCACAATTGAACAGGAAGACGTTTCGATTTCAGCGCCAACTTCACCCCATTCCATATCGTGCCATTAAAACGTTCAACCTGTCCATTTCCTGCAGGATTATATGGTGTGGTGCGACTTGTTGCAATACCTTTGTCATTGAGAAAAGAGCGAAGTTCTCGACTCATGAAAGCAGAACCTCTGTCTGAATGTATAAAAGCAGGCATTCCAAATGTAGTGAATGGTTGCGTGAGACATTTAATGACACTTGCTGTGGAAACATCTGGACATGGGAATGCAAACGGAAATCTCGAAAATTCATCGACTACGCACAGAAAGTATCGATTATTATTGTTTGACGGTAGAGGTCCTTTAAAGTCTATATTGAGACGTTCAAATGCCTGTGTAGCTTTGATAAGGTGCCCGGTGTCAGGCTTATGAAATCGCGGCTTGCATTCACAACAAACAGGACATGTTGAAACAACTTTTCGAATGTCATCCATCGAATATGGCAAATTCCTGACTCGAATAAAGTGAGACATTCTCGTAATTCCTGGGTGACACAGAGCGTCATGAAGTTTATACAAAAGATGATTTTCGGGATCTTGTACAGTTGCGCACGATATTCTTGAAAGTGCATCAGAGGGAATATTTTCTTGCCCAGGACAACGAATGTCAAAACTATAGCAGCAGAGTTCTAGTCGCCAATCGCATGATTTATCATTTTTAATCTTTGTTCTGTGATTTCGATGAACATAAATGATACGGATCTCTGATCTGTTATAAGAGTGAAATGTTTACAAGTGAGATAGTGACGCCAATGACGAACAGCCTCAATGATGGCCTTGCTTCCTTCTCTATTGAAGGGTGTTTGAGTTCTGGACCTTGTAGCATGCGAGAGAAAAAAGCCACTGGTCTCCCACCTTGGTTTAGGGTTGCAGCCAATGCTACATCAGAGGCATCTGTTTCTACTTCAAAAGGTAAAGTTTCATCCACAGCTATGACGACAGCAGATTCTACGAGTCGCTTCAATTCGTGAAACGCATGAATTGACTGGTCGTCGAGAGGAAAAGTTTTCGCAGATGCTAGTGGTCTGATAGTATCAGAAAACTTTGGTATCCACTTTGAGTAGTACGAGAAAAACCCAAGACAACGCTTTAAAGCGGAAACTGAGGTAGGAATCGGCAAACGCCGCAAAGGTTCTAGTCTCCCAGGATCCGGACGTATTTGGCCTTCCTCAATCTCGTAACCTAGAATCTGAAGTTTTCTGGTTCGAAATATGCTTTTTGTTTTTGTTCAATTTTAGATTTCGTCGTTTAGCGGCTTCTAGAAACTTCTGCAAGTTGATATCATGGTCTTGTTGAGTATGCCCACAAATGGTAATGTTATCGAGATACGCGAAAACACCGGTCAGGTTTTCTTCTTTTACCAGGTTCATCATTGCCCTCTGGAAGCAGGCCACACCATTTGTGACTCCAAACGGTAAACGAGTGAACTGGAACAGAGCACCCGCAGCTTCGAAAGCAGTATATTTCTGGTCTTCCTTTTCAAGTGGAACCTGATGGTATGCACTTTTTAAATCCACTGTGCTATACACACGATAAGGAGCAATTTCGTTGATTATATCGCTCATATTAGGTAAAGGAAACGCGTCTAACTGAGTAAATTTATTGATGGTCTGTGAATAATCGATTACAAACCTTCGTTTCCCATTTTCACCTTTTACGACGACAACTTGAGCTCTCCACGGAGATCTGCTAGGCGTTACAATTCCTTCCTGTAACAAACGGTTGACCTCCATTTCAATAAACTTTCTGTCATCTTTGGAATACCAACGAGACTTTGTAGCAATAGGATGGCAGTCAGCAGTCAGATTTTTGAATGGTTCTGGAGGCAAACTTTTGAAAGTTGAAAAGCCACACACAGACATTGGAGGTCGATCGCCGCCGTAATTATAAGTTACACTTTGATGTTGTCCTTGAAAGTCTATACCAAGTAAAATGTCACAACATAGATCATCCATTACTCTCAATATGAATTTTTGATAGTGTCGGCCCTGATATTCAATATCAGCTGCTGTGCAACCTTTTATAGGCATGGAACACGCCAGAGAAGCCATTGCTACCTTGTCCTTAACTGTGTCCCTTTTGATTGGGAGGTTACACCTTTCTATGAGACGAGGGTGTATGAAACTCTGACTACTGCAACTATCGAAAAGTGCGCGTACTTTGTGTCCTTCAATATGAATCACAGACGACGACCCTCTCAATGATTTCGGGGTATTGTCAAAAGCCATTCCTAATATATACGAGTTAGAACATGCAGTGACTTCGTCAGGATTTTGTGGGTTGAAAACGGTTCCTCTGCAGACTTTTATGAAATGTCCTTTTTTATGACATTTGAAACAAAACACATTTCGGGCTGGACATTTTGAACGAGAATGTTTCTTTCCGCCTCAGAAAAAGCACGCGGAATTTGCAGTAGCAGATATTTTCTCGATATCACACGATGTCTCATCGTTTTGAGTTTCACTGTGTTGAGCAGCCGCAGACATAGAAGGATCGGATACTCGATAAGCTTCAGCATTCTTAATTGCTACTTCTAAGCTTCTGGCTTGATCGTATGTCGTATTAAGACCAAGGTGTTTGTTTTCCAACAAACGCTGTCGTATCCATGTGGAGTTTAACCCCCGGATAAAAGCGTCTCGGACAAAAGCATCTCGGTTTGGAACAGCAGATACAGCTTTGAAATTACAATGTTTGCTTAACGATTTCAATGCTTGCATGTATTCGTCTACATTTTCAGATGCTTGTTGGTTCCTGGTTGCCAGAACATGCCGAGAATAAACTTCATTGAGAGGTTTGACAAACATTGTTTTCAGAATCTCAATCGCAGTATCGTACGATTCTGCCTCCTCAATGTTTTGGAATATACGAGGAGATATGAAATTCACCAGTACACCTAGTTTATCAAGGCCTTCAGACGGCAAGGCGTTTAGAAAATTATCGAAAGTCTTCTTCCAGTGCAGCCACTCACAGGATGCTTCGCTAGAGTTAGGATCTACCTCCAGTCTCTCTGGTCTCAGAACCTTGTCCATGCTTGTACCAGAATACTCTTGTGAAATGATTTAAGTTGAATAAATTGTAATGAATGAGAAATATAGTACCTTGATATAAGGCTTTATTCAACTTAAATTTAAAGCACTCTTAGAATGGATCTAAAATAATATAACACAAGCAAATGTTATTAAACAAGAAAACAAATACGTATCGAATTGCTGATGCTAACAGTAAGCGCCTCAATAGTTAAATGAATAAAGTTGAAAGAATTAACACACTACATCTACAGCACAGCAATGATTGGTGTCTGATTTAAAACGCCACAGCAATCATCGCTTGACTGCAGCTGTATAAACAAATAGATACATTGAGTTGCATTTCCAAGTTATCATATTCACCGCCACTTTAGAGATTTAGTCTGTCTACGGTTCGGCGTTCCCTGGTTGATCTCCTTAGAACTGGAGGCGATGGAGATCTAGAGACAATATTATTTATTATTATACAAACGGAAATCTACTACTACTCTCTGAAACATCTGGAGACAAAAGACTGCAGTGGATCAGCTAAAATGTCATAAATTATTTTACACACTGGAAGTCTACAACATGTGATTAGCTCAGGGATTTTTAACAAAATAAATGCTATACAGCTACATGCAACACATTCTGTAGTCATATTTCATAAAACCACAACATTTCATTTCTTCTCCGGCGTATGAAGGGCTCCAAATACTGGTACCTTCAACATGTGATATACCATATTAGACCAAACATCTGTCAGACCCCCTTTAAGTGTGAGATAGAAGTCTTCTAAATTGTTTTACTATATCATACATATAAATTGTTCGTGGCTTGAAACACTTTTTAGAGTTAGACCATCGGGACTATTGTAAACTAACATTTGCTATCAGACCTACCAAGTATTTTGGTCTAACTTGTCAATTGAAGGTTTCAGACCCCCCCCCCCCCTTCAAAATCTTCAGGTATGCCCGTAGGGCTTCACCCTAAATATTGAATGAATCGCCAAAAGATTTTCAGTTTAAAATATGCATATTTTGCAGGTCGCGGGGCTGGGAATCCATCGGTGCTCCATTTGATTGAAAAGCAGCAACGAAAAGAAATATGTAGCAATGTCCACGTGATAGAACCTAAATTGCCTTTTTACTCCAGCTAAAAACCACTCCCAAAGCATTAAAAAACATCAATACAACTATTAATATAACTCGATATTCAGTGTTTATTCACATTAGTAATTAAAATAATAATTTGTATTCCTATGGAATATTGAGAAAAAAACTTGGGTACTTCAGAAATATGTGTACCAAGATGACGGACAACGGAACATAGTATGTGTACCAGGTTAGGCCATACTTTTAGGTACAAATACTACAAAACTCTATTGGTTAGTTCCTGAACTCGTAATAGAACTAAAATAAGGACATTTTGGCCTAACCCTAACGTGGTACACATACTACGTTCCGGTGTCCTCCTTTCTTGGTACGCATACTTCAGAAGTACGGAAGCTTGACTGTAATCACATACATCTTAATCTTCGTTCTAGCTGCTGTGTTTCTTCAATTGGTTTCGTCCATCTTGTTGTTATTATTTTGGCTGCAGTACGTTGCGTATACATTTGCTCAAATTTTTTGAATACTTTCTCAAGTAGTGTTGTTACATCTTGACATTCAGTTACATTGTTTAATAGGTATTCACTCATGAATGATTTGAGAATATTTTTCTTTTATATCTAGTGTCGGATGTTCAATGATGGGATGATGGAAATAAATTTCAGCTGCTTGCATGTGTTGAGATAGCCTTTGTATAATCATTGACTCTTAAAATAGTTATTTATAGATTGGTTTGATTAATTTTTTGAGCAGATTTTTTTCGATCAATTTTGGGTTTTCTCCGACTTGCGGCCCGCGAGACTTCCCCAAAGGTTTTGCGGTTCTTCAACCTAGCAACCTTGAAGCACCCTGAGGTAGGATACTAGGTGCCGGTAAAATTTCAAACTACAGTTGTTACTCGTATACTTTGTTATTTCGATTCACGTTGAGACTCGAGGCATAAATCTTTATTGTCACACTTCCTTAGGATTAGAGATCAACCGATATATCGGTCCGATATTGCGTGTTTGCCGATATATCCTATCGGCGGTAAACGGCCGATATATATATTGGCTATATATGACAATTAAAAAACCTAAAATGTTCGTAAAATTTGTTTTATTTACTGTTGGTTGTGATTATTTTTAATGGATAATTCACTTATGTGGTTTTTATAATTAAATTACACATGAGAGGGCACCAAAGTCTTCAGTGCTTAGGGCACCAAAGGGGCTTGCTTAATCCGCCGCTGTCTTCATTGGTTGACAAATATCTATAAACTTGATTTATCTCTATCATGTGTGAGAGTATTACTGGAATCTTCGCCGTCGTAGGATGGTTCACTTTCTCCACCATAAAGTTCATCAATTTGAAACAAATTTACTAGCTAGCTGATCACTTATCAGACGAGAGGCACTGGTACGCCATGTGATTAAGCCGTCTTATCGGTTTCCCTATCCGCGGAATAAATATACAAATCCTATTCTAATGTATTGCAGTACAAAATGCGATTTGCTGACACGTAATCTGACTACTTCATCTAGAGTGGAGTAAAAAAAATCATTACCTAATCCTGATTCTGTAATAAGTTTATTTATTTTGTTTTTAACAATTATTTTATCGTTTATTAAGCTGATTATGAAGTCAAAATTAACTTATGCGTATACTTATAATTAATTTAATGATGTCTTGGAGTTTCAGTTTCATCCGTAAATTTATTCAGAAACCAGTCTGTGCTTTTTTTTGAACGGGTGGCCAGAGACATTATATAAGTATACAATGGGTCTGGGGTGGCCGTGACCTTGCTTAAGTAAAACAAGAGAGCTATGCTAAATTATATGGACATGGGTGTACGGCTCTGTTCGACATTCCTCATTAGCAACTCTTAGCAAAGCAAGAATTTCGTTACACACCACCGACTTTCGATGAGCACGTGACCAGAAAAATAACAATAAGAGTGTCAGCATAAAAAACAAGTCCTTTTTGTGAAATCAAAGAAATCAAAGAGAAAAGCGATTTTTTAAGATTCCCCGCTAGGTTCCGAAAAAGCAAAACGATCCATAGGTCCGTGTTCATTGAAAAGGGAAATAACCATTGAGGTGTAAAGAAATAACTAAAGTAATATCCTTCTAGCAAAGAATAAAATTTTTAGACACTGAAAATTTCAACGCAACTGGTCCAATATTTAAGGGGAAAAGGGATTTTTTCAAAACGATATAAAGAAGAAGAAGAAGGCCAACAAGAACAAGATTACCAAAAATAGGAAAACGATTCATACGTCCACTCACGTGTCCAATAAAAGGTACTTACCTTGTGGGAATGTAGCTCAAATAATTCCACACACCATGGCTTGGCGACAGAAAAGAGCAATTTCACATCTCAAAAGGAAAACATATTTGCCAAAAGTGCCGCCGCTCGACAACCAGTATTGGTTTTCAGAGTTTTCTATCAAATGCGATTTTTCTTATATATTTTTTTTAATTTGAGTTTGTATATAGCGCGTATTTTCAGCATGGTGAAGAAATAAATTGCTCATTACTGGCCAGTCAAAAAAATTTCGTCTTGCCGGATTCGACTCCAGTGATCCGGTTTTCCGATTCGTAAACAGGCGTCCTGTGTTTCCGATTTCAGTGCATTCTGCAAATTTACGCGCTTTGAATGCTTTCCCCGTTTGGTACCACTACCGTATTTCACCGCCATAAAACAGTCGTTTGTAATGTCTAGCGAGGAGAACGCCTTCTTGAATTACAAGATTTTTAACTGGTCTAGTTATTCTACGAATTATCTGCCAGAGTAAGTTTGTTTTTGATTGTTTTTAATTGTACTTACTTACAGACGGCGCGGCGGTGTGGCTCAACGGGCTAAGCGTTAGGAATACGCTCGCCACCGCACCTCTAATTACTCTGCGTGGGTTCGCAGGTTCGAATCCCATGCAGGGATGGTTATGTGCGAGCGGATTGCTGGACTCCTCGCCGTCGTTGGGTGGTTCACGTAACCGCTGGTCGGTTACGGCTTCCTCCACCGCCAAGTCAATGCTTCCGAAAATGAACAATATACCGTAACTAATCCCATACCCGACTTGGAATGGTAACCGGACGAGAGGCCGTGGTTCGCCATATGGATAAGCCGTCTTATCGGCTTTCTTCTCCCTCGGGATAAATATGTAAATCCTATCCTACTGACATTAGAATAACCATTGCACTGGTAAGCTGGTGAATTAAACAAAGCAATGTTAAAGAGCAAATGTTGGAATGGCAATTCAGTCAGAAAATAAACCAATGTCTGAATGTCGAAAAGTTCTGCTCGTACAGCGATAGACTACGGTACGGTAAGGATAGGATAGGATTTACATATTTATCCCGGGGAAGAGGAAAGCCGATAAGACGGCTTATCCATATGGCGAACCACGGCCTCTCGTCCGGTTACCATTCCAAGCCGGGTATGGGATTAGTTTTACTGTATTGTTTATTTTCGGAAGCATGGACTTGGTGGTGGAGGACGCCGAAACCGACCAGCGGTTACGTGAACCACCCAACGACGGCGAGGAGTCCAGCAATCCTCTCGCACATAACCATCCCTGCATGGGATTCGAACCTGCGAACCCACGCAGAGTAATTAGAGGTGCGGTGGCGAGTGTATTCCTAACGATTAGCCCGTCTGCCCGTTGAGCCACACCGCCGCGCCTGTATCACGTCTATGCTGCCATGTCCCGTAATCAGAGGTGCATTGGCGAGCTTATTTCTAATGTTTATCACGATGTGCCAAACGGCCGAGCGCCAGGGTTATCCTATCCGCAATTCCCATATATAACATCAGAACATGACTAGTTTAGAAAAAAAAGAGGCTGCATCTTTTTTTTAATTAACATCCCTATCTTAGCAATAAATATGAGAAATTATTTTACACAGTTGCCATTATGAAAATACCGTTCCATTGTATGCTATTTCTCTCCCCCAATATGGATAAATATGAGTACCCTATTCTCAGATTTTTTAACTGAGAACATTTACCCATGTTGGTAGATAAATCATACCGGTATAAGCATTTGATAATAACAAAGCCTCCACATTACAGAAACATTCAACAGAATGAGCCGACAAAACAGTCATCGAGATGGTCATCAAGCTCCAATTCACCCCCACAGTTTCTACTCCTCAAACTACCACGACCAGCGATCGTTCAAACCATTATGTTTGGAAAATTTGAGAAAAATCATGTCTGTAATATCAAGAAATTTAAAGTAAGGAACTTTTTAATGAGTATATTCTCGAAACTGGAATAAGGCAAACAATATAAGTCTGCCATTGCTGAAATGTTGCGTCATTGTGCTTTTTTACTGATACTACAATGGACTGTGTTATTTTTAACTTTCGGAAAATGTTTCTCAAAAAAAAGTTCACAGCTGTCAAACTGCTCAGTTGGGGTTGGGCTACCCTGCCAGACAAAAAAAAGTTAGTAACAGTAACATCTAGCATTTTATCGATAGCTTATAGCTTTGCTCAGAGATCATTCTCAATTTCTGAAAGTGTGTTCTCGTGACCTTGCTTTGAGCAAATATTCTAAAAAGTGTTGCTAGAGTGTTGTAACGAGTGCAAGAAGTCTCTTGAATCACTAAATTTTGCTGTTTTTTTTAGGTTCTAGGGGGAATGGAAGAGGATAATCTGATAGAGTTACTCAAAGGTGGACTAAAGAACGATCACAACCCAGAAACATTCCATATGAAGCATAGAATAGATGGACAACTGTTCCCTTGCAGGTTTATCAAAATAGGTGAGACAATTTGGGTTGTTACTTTAACTTCCCGACCTCGACTAGTTAGAACCGATTGAGGGCAATTCAAGATGTTACAGAAGGAGTAATCAGGGACGTAGCCAGGATTTTTCAAATGGGAGTTATGAGATTACTATTTGCCAAGTTTGATTGTAACAGCTATTGGGTCCGACCGGAAAACGTTGGGTGTCAAGAATCTTAAGGGTCTAATAAGCGTTTCAAGCTGAGAAAAATTGAATTGTAAGATACAGAAAAATCCTTTTTTTTTTCATTTCAAATCAGGCAGGAGGTTTCGACCCTCAAAACCGCCCTGGCTATGTCCGTGTTTACTATAATAACATCTCAGCCCACAAGTTCAAATTAGCTTGTAATTAAATCCCATGCCCACCACCTCGTGAATAAATTGCGTAGGCAGTGCGGAACCATGAAAAGTTTGGACCTTCCAAAAAACAGTAGCTCTTAATCTTGCAATTGCTTGTGCAGTGCCTGTTTTGGAGCAAAAAGCATTTAAATATGCCATACATATGACAAAATAATGTCGAAATGTGTACTCTAAACTGATGTTTATTTTTTCGTAGTACCACTGTTATCCTGGGGTTCAGCTTTTAACTTCAGTATCTGGTACGTTGAACTGAGAGGCATAGAAGAAACTGAAATCGTTCAACCATGTTTAAAATGGTATTATGAGGTAGGAATTCAAAATATTTATTTGAATATATTCAGTTTTCAAATTTTTGTCTATTTTTATTGTTTTGTTGCATGGAAACGTTCTCATGCAAAGGGAAAATTACGAGAACAACAGAAAATTCTTTTTTCAAAGATAGACGGTACCCATTTATATTATTTATATCCATGTTTGTGAGCCATTCATTGCTCTTGTATTTAATTTAATAATGCATTTGAAGTTTCGTTTATTGAATGAAATAATTTTTCTGTAATGTCCAGACCCCAGTAATTTTGAAGTGTTGTAAATGGACCTACGGTGAAAATAGTTGGAGGTTATAGCAGTGGCTCTCAACGCAGAAGCTTTTCCAGTGGTTCGCGGGCAGTTTGAATTATTGCAACAATTAGCTTTTGAGTTGGCTAAAATATGGCGACAAAGGGTTTATAGCGCTAGCAGCAGTTCTTGTCTTGAGATTGCCCTCGTCTGCTACCTAAAACGAAACGAGACGATGGACAAAGCCTTCCAGACCTGAGGGCAATCAACGCTAATTCTCTCGTGATTTTGCACGTAATTACGTTGTTACTGCGTATAATATAGACGTAGTGCCACATTAAATACTACCGTATTTTCCCGAAATTACGCCTATATCGAGAATAGGCCGACTCCCTAAAAACGGCCCTAAAACAACGATTTTATAAAAAATCGCACATGAGGCGGTCCTACGAATCGTTACACACGGGACACTTCCAAGAAAAACGTAGGAAGAGAACAAAATTACTGTAACGCAAACATTTCTAACGTTTTTCGTTTCTGCATGTTAGCGAGGGCCGTAGGTGGATTATTACCTGTAACGCTTACTTGTTAATTTATGCTAATAAAGTCTATATTGCTTTTCAATGTGTCGGGAGTTTAAAATAGAGTTCCTCAGCATAAAACAATTTCCTTTGATCGCCACAACGACGATTAATTTCGTTCCTTGTCCGTTTCAAGGAGAGAAATAACGCTGTATTAACACATTCTTATAAATCGCTACGAATCTTAACACGCCAGACGCCTTAAGAAAGGCGCAGAAAGAAAACGAAATTGCTGTAACACAAATATTTCTATTGTTTATCATTTCTGATTGTTAGCGACGGCCGTAGATTCTTACTCGTAACTCTCACTTGTAAATTCATGTAAACTTTTTCATGCGGTTAATTTTGGTAAGAGTCCTTATCACCGCCCCTTAACGGATAACATATCGTAAGCGATAGTGCACCAAATAATAAAGTTTTCACCACGAAACAGCTGGCCGTAAATCGACACTGTTGCTGTTATGTAAAAGAAGCACAAGCGAAAACAAACAATCACAGCCTGTACAAGCGTCACATGTTAAACAACCAATCACAGACTGTACAAGCCATCAGCTGTATGATAAGACAATCCACTTTCACAAGCGAGTGTGTGTGTGTGCGTGCACGCTTTTTATCATGAGAACTTGGTATGGTTTGAAGCTTTTGGAATTACCGGCAAATCAGCATATTATCATCTCGTTGCGTGATCAAATTCTGATATGTGAATGAGCCGATTTTCTGGTGCAATCTGAGTCATGCGCGAATAAGACGGTCCCTTAGTTTGGCAACTTTTTTTTTGAGTTTTAAACTCGGCCTATTCGCGATCATATACAGTACCATAGCGCGTTTCTTGTGCCATTGTTCCCCACCACAGAAAAAAAGTTTTGTCGGTGGTACGCGGCCAGAGTAAAACGAACAAAAGTGGTACGCGGCCAGTAAAAGGTTGAGAACCGCTGTAGTAGAGTACCCCGGCAATAGGCCACCATGTTCCTTCTTTTTCAATCTTAAAATCCTTTTCCATTTCTAGCATCGCGAACGAGAAGCAATACGTCTATGTTTGAAGCATTTTCGACAACACAATTACGTTGAAGCGTTTCAATCTTTGCAAAAAAAAACTAAAATAACACTGGAACATCCCCTATTGACTGAACTTCACAGGAAATTGGTCATGGATGGAGACTTTGAGGAATGTGAAAATATAATGCAAAAAGCTGTCACTGGTAGGTATCTATGCTTTGAACAAGGCAATAGACAACCCACTGGTAAATATTCAGAAGTGATTTCTGCTAAGGCACTTGGCATAATGCACCCACTGTAGAGTGTAAAAATGTAATGCAAAAAGCGGTAGGCCTACTCCCGAAGTATGTGAACCAAGATGGTTGTTACCGGAACGTAGTATGTGTACCAGGTTAGGGTTAGGAGAAAACCTGGGGTCTTCGGGAGCCATTCATTTACTCACTGAAATTTTGACTTTTTGCCATTTTTGTAATTGTTCAAAGAAGCAATAACGTCATCAATTATATTTGACAAGCAGCAAATATATCTCCGAGTCATTAAATAAAGTAATTTTATTTTTTATTTACTCAGGAACATTAATCTGTAAAGAACAATGTTTTTTGTTTGTTTTCATTTCTATAAATTTATTGCGGGGTTCCATAAATAATAGTCAACCTTTTCACGGGCTCTATTTCTTGCATTTTCAGAGGATCTATTCAATCATTATATCAGCCATCAAGAATACAAAGCACAATGGGCGAATATATCATTAAAATCCTTTCCACAGCCTGATGGTTTGCCTGGTATGAGAGGAGGCCATCAAATGTGCATGGACTATATCAACAGTAAGTGTGCCAGATTTTTGGGCTCCTTGTTTTTCCTGTTTCATTGCTTAATAAGATTATTTTAACTTTGTTGGGGGCACAACCCCAAAAAGGTGGGATTTTGAATTTTTATCTGTGCCTTATGGTGCCCAAAGTTCCACCCCAAATTTTGCAATTTGCACAAATAATGCGTCACCCTGTGACATACCAGACCAATCTGCAACCTTTTTCAACAAAGCCTTTACTCACTGCTCAGCCATGACTTACCAGTTCCGATAGGGATTGCTTTGCCAGATTGCCAGTGTCTAAATGCTACGCCATATGATATTTAGTAATACCGATAATTAGATATTGAGAGTAAAGAAATCAGAGCGAAAGGGGGAAACTCGTTTGTAAAAAAAAATCCTTATTTTTCAGATCATGTTTATCTTCTCGGTGGATGGGACGGGACCAAAGACTTACCTGATTTCTGGAGATTTGAAGTTGATCGTTCGACATGGGTTTGTCTGTCTGCTGTTACAAATGATGTTGGAGGCCCGTCTGCCCGTTCTTGCCACAAGATTTGTATAGATTGTGAAAATGGAAGATTGTACACTCTGGGGAGGTAAAGTCGGGCTTTTTTTTTATATATATTCAAATTTAATTGTATCATAGGATAGGATTTACATATTTATCCCGGTGGAGAGGAAACATCTTAACATCTTAACAGCATTTACTGGCACGTTATTCGCCATCATAATTCTATATAGTTTCAATATCTTTTAGAACAGAGGTGTGCAACAGGCAGCTTTTGGGTCACAACCCGTCCACACAGATTTTTCCCCATCAAGCATAAAATCCTAATCCGACAGTTTAAAAAGGGGCTCACATGGGTAAAAATACTCTTGTCGATGCATCAAAACTTTCCTTTTTTCGCCCAATGCTTTTATTACTAAAATGGTAAAGGAGAGTTGCATTATCTTCTACTGCCTTTTCCACGGTGCTCTGGTTGTCGCTAATGAAAACATGTTGGCATTGAAGGTTTCTTGTTCCAAGCTTAAATGCAATGCCCACCACCTCTAGGGTTTAATAACCTCTAGGGCAGGGGTCGGCAAACTTTTGTCGTTTGCGGGCTAAAATTAAAGGTTGCAAGTCATTGACGGACCGCACATATTTTTAGAAGGTTAAATCTGAGGGAATGGCCGAAGAATCACATTTTTTTACACAGATTCCAGTTAAATTTCAAGCAGCGCGCGAAGACTGATCATTCGAATATTTTCTGCGTCATTAAACCATTTGCACTCAGCATCAACTTTTTTACTTTCTGTTGCCATTTGTCTAATTATAATCATTCATAGGCTCATTAAACGAGTGATTGTGAATTATATATTTGTTAGGTTATAATATAATTTAGTGTCTCAAAACAAATTCTGTTACGTAAAGAATCATCAATACAGTTGTATTGTTAATATAATTCAGTGAAGCGACGCGGGCCGGATTATACTGTTCCGCGGCCCGGATCTGGCCCGCGGGCCGTAGTTTGCCGACCCCTGCTCTAGGGTTTAATAAATTGGGTGAACAATGTCAAACTGGTCCTTTCAAATGATAATTTGCTTCCTACGTATCATTAGCTATCAGTGGCTGATTGAATTTGCATTTTTCACATTTCATTGTATAAATAGGCATGAATAATCGTCATAATTGATATCTACACAGGGTGTCCAAAAAATTTTGCCTGATTTTGTAATGGTAAAAATTAAAAATCCCTTGTTTATTAATAGTTCCTATTGTGCTCGTAGATCTCATTTATCATACAATAGAATTTATTTAAACTTACAATTGTTATTACTACAAAATCGTGAAAATTTTTATTGTTTTCTGATTGGGGACTGGCGAAATGTTTGGAAACCTTGTATATAAGCTAATATGTAATATCACAGGTACCTTGACTCTTCAAAACGGACACTTTCAACAGTGCGAAATGATTTTCACGTTTATCACATTAAGACTGGCAAATGGCAATTATTAAGCAAAGATACAGCTGTGGATGGAGGACCTAGGTTAATATTTGACCACCAGGTGAGCTAGAGATTAATTTCAAATAGGGGGTGATGGTATTGTATATTGGCGCTGTGGAGTTGGTGTATAGTCAGAGGTTGGCATGCTTTTATTGATATTGGAGTTTGATGTGATGTTGGAGGAAGTGAATCACCTTGACAGCTGCGAGGACTCCACAAATAATCTCTTACATTATTATCCTTGCATGGGATATGAATCTGCGAACCCCTGTGGGGTAATCAGAGTTGTTGTGGGCTTGTGGCGAGCGTATTCTTATCGTTTTGCACGATGATCCACACCGCCCAGCCAGTCGAATATTTCAGACAGAAATTAAAAAAGCCTTTGGTGAACTATACATTCCGAATTAATTAAGGCAATTAATGAAGGAACTTGCGTAGCAAATATTTTTGTTGTCCAAATTTGTTTTTCTCAAAGTTGATTGCCTCAATCTGAAACCACATTTTCTTCATCTAGAGCCTCCTATTGGGGGCTATAAATAACTATAGCTATATTAGCAGTAAATACTACGGGAGGCTCTTGGCTAGTCTTCGAACTGATAATAGGACTAAAATAAGGAAAATTGCAAAAAAAATATCGCCTAACCCTAACCTGTTACCCATGATACGTTCCGATGTCCGCCATCTTGGTTCGCATACTTCGGGATTACCTCCTATTGCCTTAAGATCATGAGTTGCTCTGACCATACTTGGCGGTGTGGCACATTGTGCTAAGCATTAGGAATAAGCTTGCCACCCCGCCTCTGATTACCCCGCGTGCGTTTGAATCCGCAGTACGGATGATTCGTGTAACTGCTAGTTGGCTACGACTTCCTCCACCAAACTGGTAATCCGACGAGAGGCTGTGGTTTACCATATGATGAAGCCGTTATAGCAGCTTTCCTCTTCCCTGGGATAAAAATATAAATTCCAATCTTATCTTTTAGTAATTACTTATCGATTTTAATCGGTAAGTATGTTGATAGGTATTTGTCTGTTTGTCTGTCTGTTAGATGCACGCGATATCTTACGAAAGCGAGATTGAATCTGCTCCAGATTTTGCATGTGCATTCATCATATGTCGGACCAGAAGCCTATTGATTTTGGATGAATTATGTCGTATAATTAGCGAGTTATTAATTAATTAGTGATGAGACACAAGGTGTCACTATGGTATAAGAGCGCTGTTTTGGGGGATCTCCTAACTTTTGATCGATAAGTCTTCGGTCTCTGACCGATATTTCCGTTTTTTTTTATGTAAAAATACAATTTCATGTTTCCCAGATGTGCATTGATCAGCCATCTCAAACCATCTATGTCTTTGGAGGTCGAATTTTGACAGCAAACACACAAAGTCAGGTCGGTTCAATGCGACCATTACCGGAATTTTCCGGTTTATACCGGTACCATATCCCTTCAAGTACATGGCATTTGTTGAGAGAAGATTCAGGGAATGCTGGACCCCAAGACATCAGATCAAGAATTGGACATTCAATGCTATTGGATACTGTAAGTTCATTTTCAATCTTTTTCTAAGTCTATATTTCTACGAAAGTATGTGTAAAAAACTCTGTTTACATTATTTGTTCAATTTGAAGGATCCTAGTGTTACATACAGCTCGCACTCTCATCCAGAAACTCAAGTTCACTGGTAACAAGTTCAATTCAAATTTCTGGTATCTTGATTATATGTACCGGTACCTCTTGCGGGCGTTCCCTCCTGCTGCCTCGCGAATATCTTTCCTCTTCTAATTTTGGCCCTCGGCCATTCAGCTTTGGGAACTTCTATTTTTCATGAATGATTTACAGTTAAATGAATCATTCTGCATGGGATTGCAGCAATACTCTCTCATGTAATTACTAATTATTCCCCACAGTATTCTTTAGATTCACGTTGTGTATTCACCAATGTGCAGTCATCGTGGAATATTTTGAATTCTAGTTATTGTATCACCCAATTCCCTCCGTTAAAATTTGTTCAAGTTTAGTTGCCATATTGTAACTATTGTATACTATATATATTATACAAGAGATAGTTAAGGGCTGGAAAAAATTTCAAATTCCTGTTGTAACAATATCCAATTCCAGAGTCTAGGCTAAATATTTTACTCTGTATTTAACTGCCAAGCTCTTAATTATCATTTTAATACTTTGCTTTACCTTTTCAGGAAACACACTGTCTTTACATTTTCGGGGGTCAAAGATCAAAAGAGTATGTGAACGATTTCTTTGTCTACGACATAAACCAGGACTCGGTGAATGTTCTCCATGACGGAACCAAGAAAGAAGAAGGCTTGCCACCGTCTGGTTTTACCCAGAGAGCAACAATAAATCCTGCGTTGAGGGAGATTCATATGCTCTCGGTAAGAAGGATAGGGTTTTTATATTTTTTGGCTGATTCACAACCTCTTGTCTTGCTCATGTTTCTTTGCATACAGTGCTAGGATTTGACAACTGGCATAAATGGCTGCACTATATGATTCTAAAACATATTACATGACTCGAAAGGTCTTCTTTCAGGACCATCAATTAATAGAGGATAGGAATTAGATTTACACATTTATCGTGGTGGAGAGGAAAGCCTATAATGCGCCTTTAACATACAGCGAATCACGACCTCACGAACAGACTAGCTGTTAAGTGGATCACCCTGTGACGGATGAGGATAAGGATTCCAACAAATATTTCGCATTATCCCTCGCAGGACTTGTCATCACTTGCCAATAATCAGTGTGAACGATGCTAGGGTTGTCTAAAATGAATCGAATATTCGAATGTATTCAAAATAGTGAACTATTCGGTATTGGCCATCCCTGAACGATGCGTACGGTACATATCTTAATTAAGATGCGCGTAAATAATAGAGCTCGACAATCGATACCGGTATCAAAATAAATCATGTTGTGAGCGACAAAATGGGCTTTTTTTTATCGTTGCAGTCAGACTTTTATTTAACTAACTACAGTTAATGCTTGAATAAATAATATTTTAAAATTTTACAATTACAATTCGGAACTATTTGATGACATGATAATATGATAACCGTAATGTTACTGTACAACAGCCATCAAAAAGCAAGAGAACAATTATTTGTCATGGTAATAGCTGTATTATACAAGGTCCATTGAAAGAAGATATTGCTTTCATTGCATTGCTTTCCGGTGAAAAATGCTTTGCAAATGTGGTCGTGTGAGGCTTTTTCTGCTTTATATACTTCATTTCACCGATGGCAAATAAAAATTTAGTTGTCTACTTCTGATGGGTTTAATTAATGATCCATCCATGATATTCTCATAATTCTTCTGACTTATCATGGTGACAATTGAAGTTAATGTTTTCAACTTAGTAGCCCTAGTTACTTATCGATCTTAAGATCGGTAAGTATATTGATAGGTATTTGTCTGTATGTATGTCTGTCTGTGTGTGTGTCTGTTAGATGAACGCGATATCTCACGAACGCGTGGTTGAATCTGCTCCAAATTTTGCATGTGCATGCATCTTACCTCGGACCAGAAGCCTATAGATTTTGGGTTAATTATGTCATATAATTAGCGAGTTATTAATTAATTACCGATCTAAGATCGATAAGTCTTCGGTCTCCGACCGATATTCTCGTTTTCAATTCTTGTTTTATTGAGTTTTCCTTTTTTCAGGGACTAAGCAAAGACAAGGATAAACGTGAAGACAACATGCAGAATTCATTCTGGATTTACGGAATCAATGACGATAGTTGGAATTGCGTTTATAAGAATGAACTGTCATCACAAGGTGGCGCTACACAGTCTGGAACAAGCAGTTCCGCTTCAGTGGAAGTCAACGAACCATGCCCAAGATACGCACATCAACTCGTATATGATCATGTCAGAAGGGTTAGTAGTTGCACACACTAACATTTTTTTTATGAGCAAATACACACTTTTACTCAGAGAAATGCATTATTACTTTTTGTTTTGCGTTTTCACATTAACTTCAAACAAAGCCGTGTGTTGTGGCATGTGTGTTAAACATTACTCACGAACCCAATAGAATAGTCATAATTATTTCTGCATAACCCCAACTGATGGTAACACTATTTTAATATACTTTTGGATTTTTACATCGTTAGAAATTGAATCAAGTCTAATTTATATCTGACCATCAGATGTCAGATACAAATAACTAGTAAACCATTTCATAGTAATCCTGGTTCCAAACGGCCATGGTTTGGCTGTCTTAACCACTTTTCTTGATACTCCTGTAGTGTGGGTACCAGGTTAGGGTTAGGCCATCATTTTAATTTAATTTTTTTTTTATATTAAGTTCTGTTACAAGTTTGGAGACTGTCTGTGTTAGCCAAGTGAATATACCCCCTGTTCATAGGTTGCAATCCCTTTACACAACTTGATGTAAAGTAGGCAAACAAAATTAGTTACCTCCATATTGGTACACGTACTTCCGGAGCGCCACCATTTCCATAATAAGCATAGTTCCAAGCAGCCATGGTTCACCGTATGATCAGGCTGACTCATCGACTTTTCTCTCTCCCTGAATATACAAGAAATTCCCTTTTTGAACTAAGAAAAAGATATGTTTTCAGACCCACTATATGTTTGGAGGGAATCCCGGAAGCAAATCATCACCTAAAACAAGACTTTCTGACTTCTGGAGTTTAAATTTGTCAAGGCCTTCGAAAGGAGATATTCTGCAAAAGTGTAGGTGAGCAGATCTGTTAGTTTTTTTGTAGTGTCCTCGATTCGGACCGCATCTGGTTTGTTATTACTTATCGATTTCGATCGGTAAGTATGTTGATAGGTATTTGTCTGTTTGTTTTACTTTTGTATGTTATGCGATATCTCACGAAAGCGAGGTTGAATCTGCTCTAAATGTTGTATGTGCATTTATCATATCTCGGACCAGAAGCCTATTGTCCATGTCCAGCCTATTTTGTATGAATTATGTCGTATAATTAGTGAGTTATTAGTTAATTAGTGATGGGACATGCAGTGTGGCTATTGAATTCGATAAGTCGGCGGCCTCCGATCGCTATCTAGTTATGGTGCATTGGTTCGATTAAATTTGCATACATGAAGGGGTGCTCCCGAAGTATGTGAACCAAGATGGCGGACATCGGAACGTAACATGGGTAACTGGTTAGGGTTATTCGATAATTTTTTTCCAATTTTCCTTATTTTAGTCCTATTATCAGTTCGAAGACTATCCAAGAGCCTCCCGTAGTATTTATACCTAGAATTATGGCCTAACCCTAACCTAGTACACATATTACATTCCGATGTCCGCCATCTTGGTTCGCATACTTCGGGAGCCCCCATGAAGGTTTCCTTTTATTGACTTTTATTTATATAATAACCTGCCACTTGTCAATGCGCCTGTCTATGCACGTAGGGCACTGTGGCTCTATTATAAACATTCCGTATTGCATGGCATATTCACCAGTGGAGGGGCTATAACATGGTTGAGGATATCTAATTTTTTAGGCGGTTACTCACGAGTCGTCGACTCTCCAACCTAAATTTTGGGGGAAATATATTTACTGACCATTGGAATATATTTACACTGTAAAATATTTGTCCTTCCGCACTACACTATGGTTTCCCTTTACATATAGTCAGATCGGGACTCCCGAAGTATGCGAACCAAGATGGCGGACATGGGAATGTGATATGTGTACTAGGTTAGGGTTAGGCCATAATTTTAGGTATAAATACTACGGGAGGCTCTTGGCTAGTCTTCGAACTGATAATTGGACTAAAATAAGGAAAATTGGAAAAAAATTATCGTTTAACCCTAACCTGTTACCCATGTTACGTTCCGATGTCCGCCATCTTGGTTCGCATACTCCGGGAGCACCGTCAGATCTATGTGGACAGCCTTGTTTAAAGCAGGAAGCATTTATAAGAGTCGTATAAAAGTTTCACAGGTATACGATAAGACGACACAAATTCCCCGAACAATCTCTGAGCGACCCAATTTCCGCTCTCCTGTATTTACAAAACGAGGTCTCAGAAACTGTCCACCATGAGGAGGCCCTTGTTTGTGACAAAAGCATTAATAAGAAACTTATCAAAATTACATAGGTATATGATAAGACGACACACAAATTTCGCGAGCAATCTCTAAGCGACCCAATTTCCGCTCTCCTGTATTTACAAAATGAAGTCTCTGAAACTGTCCACCATGAGGAGGCCCTTGTTTGTGACAAAAGCATTAATAAGAATCTTATCAAAATTTCACAGGTATATGATAAGACGACACAAATTCCGCGAACAATCTCTGAGCGACCCAATGTCTGCTCTTCTGTATTTACAAAACGACGTCTCGGAAACTGTCCACCATGAGGACCCAAAGGAAGAAAGAGAATTTCGACTTTTAGCGACGTCATTATTTGGTTCTGTATCCGATTCAGAGTCAGATGATGACACTATGAACGCCACGGTAAGTGCATTTAATTAACATGAAGTCAGAAGTCAGGGTGAATTTTCTTGAGCTTTCCTACCCCCCTTGGAACGGAAGCATTGGCCACCATAAAACAATGGCCCCTCATGAGACTATGGCGCCAAGGGGGAATTTCTACTTTTAGCGCGGTTTAAAAAAAAATGATGAGATGGCTCAGTTTTAAGGTGGACCATGGCTCTTTACATACTTTTTTGACCTTTGACCCCAAAATTGTGAAGACGATGGATTTTCTGATACATAAACTGAATTAGTCAATTTCAAAAATAGATGGTTTCTCCAGGACTGTGAAAAAGACAAAGTAGACAATTTCAAAACTGGAAAGAATTCTATTTTTTTTAAAGAAAAGTCTAATTACTATTTATGTACCAGTGGCAATTTAACGAGGTCTTGTGCAGAGGGAGTGTGCATTAACGCCTCATAAAGGCAGGATTTTAATGTTTATCCCAATGGGATTCATTGTTGGATGAAGGAATAGTTAGATGGTTATTTTTCCAATTGCATGAACTTGATGCTGGACGAAGTTTTGACGGACGAATAGTTACATGAACCACAATGAGAGACAAACACGCAAGAGCCCAGCTATGCACTCGCACATAATTATCTCCGTCATAATTCTAATCTGTAAATCTGTGAAGGGTAATCAGAGGTGTGTGTCCCCCCCCCCGCAAAGGCAATTTACCAAGAAAAAAGAAAAAAAATTACTGACCGTTCTCGCTTTTTCAGCCATCTATAACAGCCACAGACTCTGAGAAGACATCAGCAACTAAATCATCTACTGTTAAGACTTCTTATTTACATTTAAAATATGCTGACATCGACGAAAATTTTGTTGAAAGAACTAAGGTAGGAAAAAATTGCCTCACACAAAGGTTTCTTAACCGGAGTGAACTTTATGACTCTGTGGTCTACCCATAAGTTGCAGACAGTTTGCAGAGCGCTAATAACTAGGCACTTGGACCTCATAGAGGGACATGAGCACAGACATTCACTGGGCACCTTTTACGTTAACTACATCAATTTAAATTTTTAAGGTAAATGATTGATTCTGCCGTTTTATTTAACACATTAATTCTTTTAGGTCTATATATCCATAATCAATCAATGTTCAAATCGATTTAAAATTATTTATATTCATTATTCGGTGCTCTCCCGAAGTATGCGAACCAAGATGGCGGACATCGGAACGTAACATGGGTAACTGGTTAGGGTTAAGCAATAATTTTTTTCCAATTTTCCTTATTTTAGTCCTATTATCAGTTCGAAGACTAGCCAAGAGCCTCCCGTAGTATTTATACCTAAAATTATGGCCTAACCCTAACCTAGTACACATATTACATTCCGATGTCCGCCATCTTAGTTTGCATACTTCGGGAGCCCCCATTATTCAAAGTCCTAATTTTAAGAATAAATTAGAATACTTTCATATCTTATATATTTTTTTCAGCTATTTGATGCATTAGCTTCATATTTTCCCGAAGAGATGACACAGCCAAGTGGAAATATTATAGACTTGATGCAATTATGATTGTTCTCAATAATATGAACTATTTTATCACATTATTTATCCAGTTATTTGCTTTTTCAAAATATTTTATCTCAAAAGGTAGCTAAAACGTTAAAAATTTACTACTTAAACCAGAGGTCAGCAACCTACGGGCCGAATACGACCCGCAGAATAATATAACCCGGCCCGCGCCACTTCGCTGAATTATAGTAACAAAACAGCTGTTTTAACGATTATATTCTTCACGTAACAGAATTTATTGTAAGACACGTGTAGATTAAGTTATATTATAATATAACAAGTATAAAATTCACAATTACTCGTTTGTTGAGCCTATAATTTAACTAACTATAACTCGACAAATGACAACAAAACGCAGAAAAGTTGATGCTAAGTGCAAAGGGTTCAATGGCGTTGAAAATATTCAAATGGCATTTTTTAAGATGCAATACATTGAGAAAATAAATCTATATTCTATTCGAGAGATGTATCATTGCTTGATTTTTATTATAAAAAGTATTATCCGTTCGGTTTTCAACTTTCTAAAAATATGTGCGGCCCGCCAATGACTTGCAACCCTTAATTTTGGCCCGCGAACGACAAAAGGTTGCCGACTCCTGCCTTAAACAGTCCAACCCAGGTGTTCTCAACATGATTTTAAATTTTCGGGACAGCTTCCCTTCTGTACTGAACTATTTCAATGTAGAACTCTTCATTCTCATCTCGGTGCTCCTGAAATATGCGTACCAAGATGTCACACAACCTGAACCTTGTTTCAACCTGAACCTTGGTAAGCATACTTCAGCAGGTCCCTCATCTCTGGCATTTACTGTCTACGGGTGATGAACGATTAAGCTGACTGAATGGCACTCCCGTAGTATGTGCTCCAAGATGGCGCGCAACCTGAACCCTAACCTGGTCAACTACTATGTTCAGGTTGTGCGCCATCTTGGTGCACACACTTCTGGAGGTCCGACTATATGTGATTTTTTTTGATGATTTTTTTCTGTGATACATTGGGACTTTGTGTCCGAAAATTTCACGGCAGGAAATTTTTTCGTACGAAATCTCGCAGCAGGGAATTTCGCCGCATAGAAAAATTCGCTGCTTGTAAAATCGCCGCGAGAGCATTTTGCTGTAAAACAAGTATTTGTGATGAAAACGGTTAGGTTTATATGGTTAGGGTATGCTCTAAATAACGAATCTTTTTGAAATCAAAAAGGTACTTTAAAACCTAACTGATTTTATCACGAATACTTGTGTTGCAGAGAAATGCTCTTGCGGCGATAGATTTCCTGCGACGAACCGTAGGACTCATTTTTTTAATTATTTGCATACCAGCTGGTAATTTATTTTGTCAATAAACCCGTGTTCTATATAACTTTGGTTTATATTATTTCCCTTGTTGGATATGAACTTCAATATTACATCATGCATTTGACTATTTTTGAAACACCATTGCTTGCTGCCTGATATTTATTTAAACCGGTGCAAATATACTTTGATTTAAACGGCAGAATTGTTACTTATTGATCTTGATCGGTAAGGGATAGGTATTTGTCTGTCTGTGTGTCTGGTTGTTTGTTTGTTAGATGAACGTGATATCTCACGAAGGCGAGGTTGAATCTGCTCCAAATTTTGCATGTGCATTCATCATATCTCGGACCAGAAGCCTATTGATTTTGGATGAATTATGTCGTATAATTAGCTTAGTTATTAATTAATTAGTGATGATACACGCGGTGTCAATATAGAGTCGCTAATCGAAACCGCAGTTTCGATCGATTAGTCTTCGGTCTCCGACCGTTATTCTTGTTTACTTTGTTAAGAGGTTTAACATGAGATGATTTGTTTGAATGAAACATGAGGCAAACACGACCCAATTTGGGGTCGCGACCCCTGGTTTGGGAACCACTGGTTTACACCCTTAAACTAGAATCATCTGAATGGGATGAGTCGGACTCATAATCAACCAATTTCCAGTGAGGTTTAATTTTGTGATTGACTTGATTTAGGACACGGACAAGACTCGACATGCGACAGACTTTTGCTGTTAACTACCGGTACCAAAATGACCAGGAATGTGAAATAAATCAAGCGAAAAAAAAGATTTTATTTCCACAAACAATGAAAAACAATATCGATAATTTTTTATAGAAGTAGACTATTCAAACTACACATCTTACTGGAAATATGTAGTTTAAAAGCGAAAGTTTGTTACCTTTTTAGTAAATTTATCGCAAAAATTAAAGAAGTTTCAACACGCGACGCGATATTATTTGGTGATGAAATGTAAATCCGGCTATTTTTTTCAGAACTAGAGGAAAGTTCTAACAGCCTTCCACAGATTTGCGAAGTCACCTAATTCACATAAAACACATAGGGTTCTGTTACATTAACAGTCATTATATTGCGACCACGGTCCATATGTCAGAATAGCATTTTACAAATATGGCTCCAATAGAATTCAGGAATTCATCTCTTCCTTGGAGAAGAACAAGATGACGACGATTTTTTACTATTCGATTCAAAATAAGCATCCCAACGTATTAGTAAAGCAGAAACATAAATTCAATCACAATCCGAGAAAAGGTAGTCCCGTAGCAGTGGCGTAGTAAGACTCTCGTGGGCAAAATATTTCGTGGGAATGACCCTAAAAACTCTTTGACATAAGCTAAAACAACCCTTTTTTTATTTCGTCAAAAAGCATAACATGTCGCTATAGAAAGGCAGTGGTAACCTAAAATTTGCCGTTTATCTTGGATACTTTAATTTTTTTCATACGTTCTCCGTCTTCTGCTCTTTTTCTGCGTTTCTGTGCACCACTGAGAGGTTTTGCTTTCGACATCATTCTGAAAGCCTTCGTAATTTTGCCGGTGCGATCAAACCACAAGACGCGCAGCACGCACAGTTGCTTTTGACGTGCTTCGTGTTTCACAAGCTTCTGTTGCATAAATTTTCAAATTCAAGACATTAAGGTGTCCCGGAATGATTTAACACAAAGTTGGCAACCCTAGTGGCTGGGGTATACTACAAAAGATTTAAACAGAGTACCTTGATATAAGGCTTTATTCAAATTAAAACTGAAACATACTTAGAATAAATCGAAAGTCAAAAACAGCACAAGTCTCGCAGCTTTTTCTTCCTAACTTTCAAAAGCATCCATTACCCTAAAATCGGGAGTTCCGTGTTTCGACCGCGGCTTTAATGTTCATCAAATATCAAAAATACAACTTAAAGTGGACAACGATAACTCAAACAGAACCTTCACAGGAAACACAAAATCGTCTCTGCTTGTCACAGCCAAAACGTGGCAGAGGATGCCTTCCTGCCTTCACGTTCGGCGGCAATCATCATCAAACAGATCAATAATCGAATTACAAAAACAAACAGAAAACAAAATAAACGGAAAAATCCTGTCACGCAGTTCCTTCCTTGAAGTGTCATGACCTCCTGGTCATGCTGAACACGAAAAATGCTAAAAACAGGGGGACAGACTAGACTAAGACCATGACGGTCTTGGTGTAACGAAAGATAAAAACACGAACGTGTATTGTTCTGGCGTCCGACTTGTGTGACATAAACACATTGCAGGCATGATGGGCTCCAATATAAAACTGATGTCTACAGTAGGGGTCGGCAAACTGCGGCCCGCAGGCCAAATGCGGCCCGCGAACGTCCCGAAAGCTTTAAATCAATGATACAAATATTGATAATAAATTTATTGTTATCTCCACATGGATTTGTGCAAGGTAACGAATGCAGCCTGTACCGGCTGCTTTTCGTGCCAGCGTCAGTTATATGTGACAGTAGTATGTCGTTACCTTGATGTGTTTGTCAATTTAAATAAGTTTATTTTGATATCTTGTAAAATATTATGAATGGAATTTTTTTTCCTCCGCGAGAACGGAGTCAAGTTCGCGTTGAGGGCCCGAACATTCCAAAGTGCTTAGACGAAAAATATTTTTCTTTCTTTGCGTATTTCAAAGCCGGTTGCGATATGCCAATTCAACCATCCCGCAGAGATAATAAGAATTCAATGTTAAACGTCAATTACGGAACGTATCGGCGCGGCGGTGTGGCTCCAACGGGCCTAAGCGTTAAGGAATGACGCTCGCCCACCGGCACCCTCTAATTACTCTTGCGGGGTTCGCGAGGTTCAAAATCCCATGCAAGGGATAGGTTTATGGTGCGAGAGGCATTGCTTGGACCTCCTCTCCGTCGTTGGGTGGTTCCGCGTAACCTTGCTGGTCGGTTACGGCTTCCTCCACCACCAAGTCCATGCTTCCGAAAACTAAACAATATAACTAATCCACGACTCGACTTGAATGGTAACCGGACGAACGCCGTGGTTCGCCCATTGGAGGATAAACCATCTTTATCGGCTCTTCCTTTCCCCCGGGAAAAAATATATGTAAATCCTATCCTATAACCATATCCCATCACTAAAAAACGAAATTCGACCCCGAATCCCCAAGTTTTGCGCCCAGCTGCTCTGTTGTGCGACAGTGAAAACGTGTAAATGTACACGTCCAATATTGTAACCAAAGGCTATTTGCTTGTGAGGGCCGCTTTATATGAAATGTATTACACTCCAATAAATTTTGTACTCAGCTTGTCAAATTGTCATTTGGACTGCCCGTACTGCCGAGGCAACAAATGTCATTTATTTCAACGCTTTTGCCGTGCACAGAAAAAACATCAAGTAAATAAAAACAATGTATGGTATGATAATATACATATTGAAAATGGCAACATAAACGTATCATTGTAGCACAGCAACAGAAGGTGTGGGTGCGCCATAATTTTAGTTTTAATGTTCCGGTTGTTCGCAGGCAAAACTGAATGTGGCCCGCACGCTACCGGAAAAGTGTATATGCGGCCCGCGAGTACATAAAGTTTGGCGACCACTCGTCTACAGCGACAACTGAGTCCGGGTCATGTGTGACTCCGTGACGCGCTTGCCCCGTTTCGGCTTTTGTGATTTGCGAAATTCGGCAACTGACTTCGGGCTTTCGGACATCATACACTTCAAAAAGGACACGTACCTCAACCAGCTTCAACCAACTAACTTAAGTTATTTTACCGTTTTATCGTCGCTGTTTCAATACAATACACAACAAGGGTCCTACACGTTTTATTAGAGATTAGACGTGGACAGTAATATGGAAACCAGTCTCGACACACAGGGGTCGTAGAAAAACTAACCACGTACTTTACATGACAAAGCGGGCACGATTGAGCTGTGCTGATAGTTTGGGATTTGGTTACACCAGCCGCATTTAAAGAAAACCAATAATTTAATTGAGGTTAACAG